TAAGTCTCTATGTATCTGGGTGTTAGGATCGTTAGCTCTTGTTGTTGCATTGATCCTTTTACCACTATATCTTTGTTGCTTTAAAATCTATTTTATCAGATACGAGAATTGCAACTCCTGCTTTTTATTTATTTATTTATTTATTTATTTATTTTTGCTCTCCATTTGGTTGGTAAATCTTTCTCCATCCCTTTGTTTTGAGTCTTTGTGTATCCTTGCATGTGAAACAGGTCTGGATGTAACATGCCGTTGGGTTTTGGCTGTGTCTTTTGATTGGGAATTCAGTCAATTTAAATTTAGGGTTACTGCCATTTGATGTTGACTGGCTGTTTTATCCATTCGTTGGTGTAAATTCTTCTTTATGTTGGTGCTCTTTACTTTTTGGTGTATTTTTAGAAAGGCTAATACTGGTTGTTTCTTTCTGTGTGTAATGCTTCTTTCAGAAGCTCTTGTAAAGCAGGCCTGGTGGTAATAAAATCTCTGAGTTCTTGCTTGTTCATAAAAGATTTTATTTTTCCTTCAGTTGTGAAGCTTAGTTTGGCTGGATATGAAATTCTGGGCTGAAGGTTCTGTTCTTTGAGGATGTTGAATATTGACCCCCACTCTCTTCTGGCTTGTAGAGTTTCTGCTGAGAGATCTGCTGTAAGTCTGATGGGCTTCTCTTTGTAATTAACCTGACCTTTCTCTCTGGCTGCCCTTAGTATTTTCTCCTTTGTTTCAACCCTGGTGTATCTAACGATTATGTGCCTTGGGGTTGTTCTTCTTGACGAATATCTTTGTGGTGTTCTCTGTATTACCTGGGGTTGAATATTGTTCTGTTTTGCTAGTTTAGGAAAATTTTCCTGACTAATATCCTGAAGAATATTTTCCAGCTTGGATTCATTCTCTCCGTCGCATTCAGGTACACCTATCAAAAAGACACCTATTTGGTCTTTTCACATAGTCCCACATTTCTTGGAGACTTTGCTCATTCCTTTTTATCCTTTTTTCTCTAATCTTGTCTTCTCGTTTTATTTCATTAAGTTGGACTTTGACCTCTGATATCCTTTCTTCTGCTTGAACAATTCGAGTGTTTAAACCTGTGCATACTTCTTGGAGTTCCTGCATTGTATTCTTCAGTTCCATTAATTCACTTATATTCCTCTCTAAGTTGTCTATTCTCATTAGGATTTCGTCAAACCTTTTTTCAAAGTTCTTAGTTTCTTTACATTGGGCTACTACATGTTCTTTTAACTCACAGAAGTTTCTTATTATCCATCTTCTGAAGCCTGATTCTGTTAATGAGATGCGCTCGTTCTCCATCAAGTCTTGTTCCCTTGTTGATGAGGAACTGTGATCCTCTTTAGAGGGAGAGGCATTCTGATTTTGAGTATTCTCAGCCTTTTTACGCTGGTTTCTTCCCATCATTGTAAATTTATCCACCTGTCGTCTTTGTAATTACCAACTTTCAAATTAGGTCTCTGAGTGGATGTCCAAGTTGTTAATTGCCAGGGCTGAAATATGAGCAACCCACTGCGTCAGCCAAAACAGCAGCGTTAAGACTGATGGTGCTTTTCTGCCTGGGAATCTCCCGTCTGGCTTCCTTCTTGAGTCCGTAATAGGCGACTCTGCCTTCCCGGAGCTCCAAACCTCGGTCAGAAGGGGAACCTGTCCCATTTACTCTGCACCAAGAGCTGCCACGCTGAGGTGCCGGTGAAACCACTGCGCCGGCCACAAGAGTCACGCTGGCGACCCATGGAGCTCCTCCACTGGGAATCTTCTGCTCCATGAGCGACCAAAGTTGTCTGAAAGTGTGGCGTCCTCTCGTTCTCTGAGCTTTCACTGGGAGCTGCAATCCCAAGATGTTAGCGATCAGCCATCTTGGATTGTTCTCCTGTTTTTTTTTTTTTTTTAATTATCGATTCAAACTAAATAGGATTCATTTCAGTATTTCAAGAATGGTCAACATTGGAAATATAACTTATTTTATGTTAATAAAGTAATGAAACAATAATAAATCATTTTGACAAATGTCAAAAAATCATTTGATATAATTCTATACAGCTTTAGCTGAAAAAGAAAAGAAAATCTCATAGTAAGAAAAGAGGCAGTTTGGTGTTAGGGTATAGGGCATAGGTTGTGCAGTTCAAGTTTTTGGCTCTGTCAATTACCAATGTGAAACTCTAGCAACATTATTCAATGCCTGCTGCCTTGGTTTCCTCATCTGTAAACCGGGAATGAAATTAACTTACCGCTTAGACTTCTTGTTAAGATTAAGTGAGTCAATGCATGTGATTTAGAATAGTTAGAATAATGTCTGGCACATAGTTAACACTTAGTCTTTAAATGTAAAGCAATTCCAGTCAAAATGCTTTGGAGGAAGATGCGCAAGAACCACTAATAACATTTTGAAAAACAAAAACAGAATAAACATATCCTATCATAGTATTACAAACTATAAAACTACATTAGTGTTAGTCTGGAAGAGGACACAATACTGGGTTGAACAACACCAAATGGATGTTTTTGTATGTCCAAAAGTTGAGTACTGGCAATTTCATTTGTTTCAACCTCTATGAGTTCAAAAACAGAACCATGTTTGGGAATCTGGTCTATAATAAAAGATGGATTTCATATTGCATCATATTTCAAAAAACACATTTCATTCATTTGGGGGAAGATCATTCAATTTACCTCAAATATCATCATATAAAATTAACTTTATATATATAAATTAATGATCTAAATGTAAAAAAGTTAGAAAACAAGAAGTACCAGAAGAAATTAAGGGTTGTTTTTATTAACTTGGGAGTTAAAAAGCCTTCAAAATAAAAATAAAACCCCCAACATCATGAATATTATTAATACAGATATCTAAGATATAATTTTAAACCTCTGTGATTAACAGGAAAAAAATGTGGCAACAGAGAAGATACAGTTGTCTCTTGGTATAAGTAGGGGTTGGTTCCAGAACCCCTGCATATACCAAAATTCTTGACTGAAGTCCCACTGTAAAACCTGCAGAATCTGCCTATAGTAAAGTTGGCCCTCCTATATGCAGGGGCATCACCTGAATACTGTATTTTCAATCTTCCTCTGGTTGAAAACAATCTGAATATAAGTGGACCTATACAGTACACTTGGCCTCTCACCTTGACACTTCTCAAAGATATTTATCAAAGGTAACCACTCTACTTCTTGAGATGCATTATTTTAGATTTTTGAGATACTATCCCTTCCAGTGTTTTTCCTACCTTAATGACTGCTCTTTCAATTTCCTTTGCTGGCCTCTCCTATTTATTAGACCTTTAAGTGCCAGAGAGTCAAAATTTTGCTTATCCATTGAAAATCCCTCTGAACTTGACCCTATTCAGTTCCCTGGATTTAAATAATATAAAATACTATTGATTCCCAACTGTTTATATCCAGCATTGACCTTTCTCTGGAGGTCATTATGTTCAGTGAAATAAGTGATTGCTTACTGTGTATTTGGCAATAAACAAGACAAAATTCTTAACATCATAGATCTTGTATTCTAGTAATGGGAATCAGACATTAAAATGTGTAAATAAATAAGTAAAGATAATTTCAGTGGTTAAAAAGTGCCGCGAAAGAAACAGCAGAGGAGTAGGATGGGAGGAGCAGATAAGACCTGTTCTATTGGGGTAGTCAGAGAAAGTCTCTGTGAGGAGGCAGCACTTGACCTGAAACCTGAAGGTTAGAAGGTTGCAGCTATTTAGAGATCTAGGACAAGCAGTGTTTGCTTCTCTGAGTTTCTCTCTGAGTTTCAAACTTGTGTACCATTCATGTGCCTGTAACATTTTACTAGAGTCTAGCAGGCATCTCAAATTTAAATTCTTTTTAAAAAAGAATACCTGACTTTCTGCCCTTGCCTTCTCCCAAGCCCCATGATCTGCTTCTTATCTGATTTGCTCCTCAATAAATGATACCACTGGCTACTAAGTTGCTTAGGCCAAAACTTAATCATAATTCTTAGTTTCTCTCTTTTCCTAAAACTCCATTTAGGCTTTTTCAACTATGGTTCTGAGAAAGAACTCAGCCCTGCTGATCTAAGAATGGATTAACTTTTCTCCTATGCATCTAGAATAACACATCCTTAAGAGAGCTGAAAGACGAAAACCCCAGTCGAGAAAGGCTGCTAGCCTAGGAGCAAGTCGCTCTATCTACTATTATAACTCCAGAAAATGCCATCATATTTCACACAAGATACTGTAATAGGCTGTTATTGGTCTCACAACTCCTGTCCTCAACCCTTTTCAGACCATCCTCCACACAACAAGCAAAGTCATCTTTATAAAGTGTAAATCAGATTATAAACACTCCCCTCTTTATTCTCTAGAGAGTTCCTCCTTAAATAATAATAAAATTTGAACTCCTTATTGACGTTTTACAAGACTCTCCCTGATCTAAATTCTGCCTACCTCTCTCTGATTTCATCTCCTTTAGTCTCTGCTTTGCTTGCACACTGATTTTCCTTCAAACCTTCAAATATGCAAAATAAATACTGTGTCAGTGACTTTGCATTTTCTGTTCTGTTTACCCAGAACACTGCTTGCCATAGATCTCTAAATAGCTGTGACCTTCTAACCTTCAGGTTTCAGGTCAAGTGCTGCCTCCTCACAGACTTTCTCTGACTACCCCAATAGAACAGGTCTCATCTGCTCCTCCCATCCTACTCCTCTGCTGCCTCCTTCACAGTACTTTTTACCCACTGAAATTATCTTTACTTGTTTACACATTTTAATGTCTGATTGCCATTACTAGAATACAAGATCTATGATGTTAAGAATTTTGTCTTGTTTATTGCCAAATACAGAGTAAGCAATCAAGAAATGTTAGTTCTACTATATAATAAAAATATACAGAATCAATTTTGGATGGGGGAAAAAACTCACATGTAAGTAGTCTTAATTCACTGGAAGAGAGATATTTAAATATTACTCTCTTGAAAAAACCGAGTCATCTAGTTTCCCAAATAACATTAGGAAGATATTACTTACAGTTTCGTATGTAACAATTGGCAACTGATGACTTTGTCAGGAGTTCCATTCCCAAATCCTGTAATCTGCCAGAGTTTTCAGTTCCACATGCAGCCAGAGCTGCCTGGTCAGCAGAAAAAAGGCTTGTCTGCATGTCTCCAGAAGTAGTAGCACTGCTGCTTTTTATTTCTGAAAGTGTATTCTTTACATCAGTTTTCATATATCGAACTTCGGCCATTTGAGTTTTGAGTCTTTTTAGCATCTTTAAATCAGAGGGCACTCTCCACATTGCCTGCTGCTTCCTTTGGTCTTTATCTTTACGAGAATATGATGCTTCAGAGAGAAATTGACAAGTCAAATTAATATAAACGTTAGCATTCGGAAAATCATTTGTACCATGAACATAGGCAAATTTGATGTGTAAAATAAGCTAGGGTGCTTTATGTGATATCAACAATAAAACATGCACTAAATTCTGTTAATGAAAATAAAGAATCCTAACTTCATTCACATCTTCAGAATTAGAATCTGAGTCATATCATACTCAAATTTGAATTACACATTCAATTCAAAAGTTTAAAAGCTGCCCTACTGCCTTGTGCTTTCTTCTTTAAACTTCTTCACTTGTCTAAAACTTTCTACAGCTTTTATTATGTTTATAATTGAAAAAAAAGACAAAGAAAAATCTAGTACCCAAATACTTTGTCAAATTTGCCATAAATAACATTATGTTAAAAATATATATTTTTGGCCAGGAACAGTGGCTTATGCCTGTAATCCCAGCACTTCGGGAGGCTGAGATGAGAGAATTGCTTGAGGCCAGAAGTTCAAGACCAGTCTGGACAGTATAGTGACACCTTGTTAAAAAAGAGTTTTTTAAATTAGCTAGGGTTGGTAGTATGCTGACTGACCTTCCATTTCTGATAATTTTCTCAGAATTGTCAGCTTTCTAAAACACAGTTTGAATCTAACCACTTCTAAAATAAAACAATGGCTCTCCATACTATGCACAGAGATATAAATTCCTCAGGCTAGCATGCAAGTCTTTTCATAGAATGGACCCAACATGACTTTCTAGTTCTATTTACCACTACATGTACCTTAAAATCTGGTTCAACTAGATTATCTGATACCTTTTACAATATTCTTTTACATGGCGTGAGTCACCATGGTTACATAGTTAAGAACATGGACTTGAAGTGAATCTGACAAGTGTTCCCTAAATATGTGTTGAAATAAATACACAGAAAAAAATAAACATCAAAACCCAAATAGGCCAGGCACAGTGACTCATGCCTGTAATCCCAGCATACTTTGGGAAGACAAGGCAGGTAGATCACTTGAGCTCAGGAGTTCAAGACCAGCCTGGCCAACAAGATGAATCCCTGTCTCCACAAAAAATACAGAAATTAGCTGGGCGTGGTGGTACACGCCTATAACCCCAGCTACTCAGGTAGCTAAGGCACGAGAATCACTTGAACCTAGGAAATGGAGGTTACAGTGAGCCAAAATCCTGCCACTGCACTTAAGCCTGGGCAACAGAGTGAGACTGTCTCAGAAAACAAAAACCGAAAACAAAAAAATGACCCAAGCAGACCTTTTCAATAAAAAGAAAGTCAGGCTGGGCGTGGTGGCTCATACCTATAATCCCAGCACTTTGGGAGGCTGAGGTGGACAGATCATGAAGTCAGGAGATTGAGACCATCCTGGCTAACATGGTGAAACCTCGTCTCTACTAAAAATACAAAAAAATCAGCTGGGTGTAGTGGCACACACCTGTAGTCCCAGCTACTAGGGAGACTGAGGCAGGAGAATCCCTTGAACTCGGGAGGTGCACGTTGCACCGAACCGAGATCGTGCCACTGTACTCCAGCCTGGGCGACAGAGTAAGACTCTGTCTCCAAAAAAAAAAAAGTAAGTTAGATCTTTCTGCACATTAGCTTTTATTAACATCCCTTTACAGACAGGTATTTTCATTTGGCTTCCATGACTGTTTCTCCTGGTGTTTCTCCTTTCTAAAAGCTCTTTATCTGGCTCATCTTCCTCACACTCAGTAAAAACAGATGTTCATCAAGATTATGTTCCTGGCTCTCTTCTTTTAAAATATTCTTAAAATTCTTTTGCAATCTCACACCCTTGGTTTTAACCATCCAGTATCACTTCCAGGAAAACAACTGTCTGTATTCCAGTTTTTTTTTTTTTTTAATATATATATTTTTTACTTTTCTGAGACAGAGTTTCACTCTTGTTGCCCAGGCTGGAGTGCAAGGGCACAATCTCGGCTTACTACAACCTCCACCTCCCTGGTTCAAGCGACGCTCCTGCCTCAGCCTCCTGAGTATCTGGGATTACAGGAATCCGCCACAATGCCTGGATGATTTTTTTGTATTTTTAGTACAGATGAGGTTTTACCATGTTGGCCAGGCTGGTCTTGAACTCCTGACCTCAGGTGATCCACTCACCTTGCCCTCCCAAAGTGCTGGGATTACAGGCATGAGCCACCATGCCCAGCCCCAGTTCTTAATTTTTAGCTGTCTAGTGGTCCTTTCTAATTTGATGTCACACTAATTTGATGCCCAAGTCAAAATGTTTAAATCTAAAACTTGCTTTTGCCTTCATTTCCCCCACCCTCATTATCATCAGCATTTTATCACCTAAATTTAAAATTCAGATCATCTTATTTGTATTATTTTTACATAGAAAACTAGTTTTAAATATAACTCTGTTTAGTTTGCATTTTTTCCTAAGGACACTGAATATTTTCAAAAACATGACTTTACCTGTCTATAAAATATACCACTGCATGGTTACACTGTAATTTATTCAGCCATAAAGGTACTGTTTAATATTTTTAAACATCTGATTGTTTTCTCTTTGGAATACACTCCTTGAAGTGACATTACAGGTTTAAAGGATACAGGCATTTTTAAACTACTACAAAATTGTTCTTCTAAAAGGTTAAACCAACTTACATATCCCAGGAAATGGCGGTTGCAGTGAGTTGAAGAATCAAAACCTGTCCGTTTCACTGGGCCTTTGCAAACAACACTTATCATTTAAGCAAAACTTTATATAAAGCATACTTGTGCACACATAAAAGGCAGCTGTTTCATAACCTGAAGATAGTCTTTTAAACTTAGGATCCAGACTTTCAGGAAGTATACTTGGCTCTTAGGAATGAAGAAGCCTAAATAATCTGGGCTCCAGATCTATATGCCAGTAGAGCAGCTCTATTTCCCTGTATTTACACAGAGGTTCTGCCTTAGACTTTGTTTGCAAAATGAATTGTTGCCTTAAAACTGCATCAAAGTCACAGTCCTAAATCACTGATTTGATTTACATAATACAGTTAAGAAGGAAGAAAAATATTTGGTATATGTATTTGAATATACTGAATATACTTTAGAAAGCATTCCAACAAAAACGGTTTTTAAAATGTAGCTTTTAAAGCTTTTAAAGGCAAATCCTTAGCTGTCCAAAATTACCCTATTCCCGAGAGGTTAAAAAAAGCCCATGTTTGACTATACAAACCTCCGTTTTATTATAGTAACATAAATGTAATTTCTATTTAACAAATATCCTTTGCACAGAAAACACAGCTGCCAAATGGTATACATTTTTAAGCTACTGAACATCAAAGAATGAAAAGTCACCTGTTTCTATGTTCAATATAGATATAGTTCCACTTGGAAGTGAGGAAATTCATGAAGCCTGACCAAAAAAAGTCCATTCACAAAGAAGATAATTGTATTTCATCTGGATCAAACTGTCAGGCCCAATCTGAGTAGCAAATCATAAAAAACCTTCTTGCAGGCATTTTTACTTTGTTTTTGCACAAATCACCTTGGAACAGTAATTTAAAAATTGATTTGGTTGATATAAATGTCATTTTACTGACATAAAATGAAAATCATAGAAATACACCATGTTCCACATATAGGTGAAACACTTAAATGAAAATCCAAGCGTTCTTTTATAAAACCACAGAAAAAAAGGAAATTGTCATTGTTATTTTACCTGTGGGCTGCAAAAGTGAAGCAGGTGGGCGAGGCTGTAAGCCCCACAAATTTTCTATATTGCTCCGGTCCTTAAGGTCCAACAAATGTATTAAAATTAATGGATCAATGTCTAGTAAACTACTGGTAGCAGCAGAGCATAAATGTGTTCTTCTTGACATTCTACTACTGGCACCCACATAGCCATGGCTACTATCTGAAAAAGAGATGTAGAAAATGTATTTTATATATATATCTGCACAAATTTAGGTATACACTTAAATGAAAAAATGAACTGGTTAATATTTTATGAATACTTGTCCACGGATCTGTCTCTCAGGAGTTCAGGTTCATGATAAGAAGCAGAAAGAAGGAACCAGACAGCCAGAGAGTTCTAAACTAGCACAGTGATTGCGTGTTGGCATCATTAATACTTAGAATTCAGAAGCAAGCATCAACCCCATCCTGAGCACTAGGAAAAAAAAAAAGACGACAATGTGTACGATGTACGTAATTAAGGGGATGAGGGGTGAGGCTGAGGAGATTATATCCCATGACCACCTGTCTTAGATGAAAGAAGACAAATTCCCATGGTACAACAGATTCCAAAGAATTAGACACCAAAATAGGAACCTCCTCCAAGTCTCCGGACAGCAAAATGTATAGGTCATGACAGGTTGGTAGACTCTTTCTACTTTGACTAAATAATGGGGTACAATGAGAAGTTTTCCGACTGTCATGTTAATGGCTGATGCATATTACAGACATTGACAAGCAAATGCTATGCGTATGTTACCTATACTGGACTATGTCTCTTAAGCCAAGAAAGCATCTGACTTTTCTCTAGCACCTAGTACAATACATAGCAAATACCAGATATGGAAATGCTGCTTCAAACTGACCTTCTTCAATAAAGCTGTTTAAATATATTCCAAAGAGATACAATATTTTAAAAATGCTATATGCAGGGAAGTAGATAATATAAAAATAATATTAAAAAGTCAGGTTTTAACTACCCATGAGTATTTCCAAGAGATCCAACAGGACATAGCTTAGGAGGAAAGTTCCATTATTCAGAAGCTTCAAGCCAATTAATAATTTATGCTTTTCACATTCTCATGTTCTCACTGTCTTCCACTTCTAAGATTATTATCTCACTGACAGTTTTTCTTCCCAGCCTCTGTAAACACTGCAATTCCTATTAAATAGAGACAAAGATTTCCCCTTCACATTGAAAACTGCTTTTTGTTTTGAGACAGAGTCTCACTCTGTTACTCAGGCTGAAGTGCAGTAGCCCAATCTGGGCTCACTGCAACCTCCGCCTACCAGGTTCAAGCAATTCTCCGGCCTCAGCCTCCCATAGCTGGGACTACAGGCATGCACCACCACACCCGGCTAATTTTTGTATTTTCAGTAGAGACAGGGTTTTGCCATGTTGGCCAGGCTAGTCTTGAACTCCTGACCTCAGGTGATCTGCCTGCCTTGGCCTCCTAAAGTGCTGGAATTACAGGCATGAGCCACTGTGCTTGTCTGAAAACTGTTTTTATTTCCTTTCTTTTTCTAAGGAATTCCCAACTCAGGCTGTATGTCAGCTGAAGAAGTTTTTAAAATCACAGATTCCTAGCTCCTTCCTAGATATACTGAATAAGAATAGGAGTGAGAGGCTGGGCATGATGGCTCACACCTGTTATCCCAGCACTTTGGGAGGCCTAAGGATCACCTAAGGTCAGGAGTTCGAGATCAGCCTAGCCAACATAATGAAACCCTGTCTCTACTAAAACTACAAAGATTAGTTGGGCATGGTGGTAGGCATCTGTACTCCCATCTACTCGGGAGGCTGAGGCAGGAGAATTGTCTGAACCTGGAGGCAGAGGTTGCAGTGAGCCGAGATCACGCCACTGCACTGCAGCCTGGGTGACAAAGCAAGACTCTGTCTCATAAATAAAAAAAGAAAGAAAAAAAGAATACTGGGATGAGATCCAGGACTTATTCCCAAAAAGCTACTCAGATTGTTCTGATGTTTAGTAAGCCCAGTAGCCCAGTAAATGGAGTCTATTGCCCTAATATCTGGCTGCCCTTTAAAAATGGAAGTTGCTCATTCTTCCATGTTAAATGCACTTACTTACAGTATAGAAAGCAGTGTCTCCTGTTTCCCACTGCGCTTTCAGGCCATTACTCTCACCACTAAACAAAAACTCCTTTTTTTATCCTGTGGGTATAACCTTTCGATACTCCCCTTCCTAACGTTCCCACCACATTTCCCCACAGGCATCAAAAACTTTGGCATCTATTTCAGTTTCTCTCTTTCCAAGCTGTTCTGTGTGTCTCATATATAAATGTACAGCCCAATGAATGCTCAGAGTAATCACACACAGATGAAGAAATAGATTACCTACATCCTAGAACCCCCTCCTATGTCTCCTTAAATTGCTCACTCCTCCTACTCAACAAAGTAATCTTCATCCTAACTTAAATAACAGATTGTTTTTGCCTGTTTTGTATTTGCATAAAAGTAGTGACAGAATATGCTCTTAGGCTCTTCTTCTTTGCTCAACATTATTCATGAGATTCATCTATATGGCTGTATATAGCAGTATCTTACTCATTTTCTTTTTAAAAGCTTTTAAAAATATTTTTAAATTTGTTATGTCTTTTTTTTTTTTGAAACTGAGTCTTGCTTTATCACCCAGTCTGTAGTGCAGTGGCACAATCTTAGCTCACGACAACCTCCACCTCCCAGGTTCAAATTATTCTTATGCCTCAGCCTCCAGAGTGACTGGGATTACAGGCATGCGCCACCACACCCAGCTAATTTTTTTGTATTTTCAGTAGAAATGAGATTTCACCATGTTGGACAGGCTGGTCTTGAATTCCTGGCCTCAAGTGATCCATGTGCCTCAGCCTCCCAAAGTTCCGGGATTACAGGCATGAGTCACTGCCTAATTTTTATTATTATTGTGCAGCATTTCAATTTATGACTATATCCAATTTATTTCTCTATTCCATTAAAAAAACTTAGGTTGCTTCTAGCTTTGGCTATTAAGAATAAAGCTATGCTTCTGAGGTTCACATAGGAGGAAAAAAACACCTCATTAAAAGACAAACGGATCAGTGACTAGCTCTCCACCATTTATGCCAAGCCATATGAATCCTGCTAAAATGTCACACTGATATACATTCATTACAGCAGTTCGTTATAGCATATTGTGTGTATGCATTATCATTTGACACTCAAGGCCCTATTACAGTCTAGTCCTAAACTACCTTTCTAGAATATTCAACATTTTTACATCCTTTATTTTGTTGGATTTTCATTTAAAAATTATGCTCATTTGGCTGGGTGTGGTGGCTCACACCTGTATTCCCAACACTTTGGGAGGCTTAAGTGGGCAGATCACCTGAGGTCAGGAGTTTGAGACCAGCCTGGCCAATATGGTAAAACGCTGTCTCTATCAAAAATACAAAAATTAGCTGGGCGTGGTGGCGGGCACCTGCAATCCCAGCTACTCGGGAGGCTGAAGCAGAAGAATCGCTTGAACCCAGGAGGCGGAGGTTGCAGTGAGCCAAGATCGCGCCACTGCACTACAGCATGGGCAACAAGAGCAAAACGCTGTCTAAAAAAAAAAAAAAAGCTCATTTATTCTTCCAACGTCTGTGGGGCAGGTACAAATAGCTCATGCCTGTAATTCCAATACTTTGGGAGGCTGAGGCAGGAAAATTAATTGAGGCCAGGAATTGGAAACCAGCCAAGGCAAGAGAACAAGACTCTGTCTCTACAAAAAATAATTAGCTGGGTGTGGTGGTGTCTGCAGACGTCTTCTTATGAGAATTGCTTTTAGTTTATTCAGTTATTTGAATTTAAGTGAAAGATAATTTCTGTTAAAAAAATGTGTGCTGAGCCGAGCGCAGTGGCTCACACCTGTAATCACAGCACTTTGGGAGGCTGAGGCAGGCGGATCGTAAGGTCAGGAGTTCAAGATCAGCCTGGCCAATATAGTGAAACTCCCTCTCTAATAAAAATAAGAAAATTCACTGGGTGTGGTGGTGTGCACCTCTAGTCCCATTTACTCAGGAGTCTGAGGCAGCAGAATCACTTGTACCTGGGAGGAGGAGGTTGCTGTGAGCCAAGATCGTACCACTGCACTCCAGCCTGGGTGATAGAGCGAGACTCTGCCTTAAAAAAAAAAAAAAAAAAATTTGTGGCCGGGTGCAATGGCTCATGCCTGTAATCCCAGCACTTTGGGAGGCTGAGGCGGGTGGATCATCTGAGTTCGGGAGTTTGAGACCATCCTGGTCAACATGGTGAAACCCCGTCTCTACTAAAAATACAAAAAATTAGCTGGGCATGGTGGTGTGTGCCTATAATCCCAGCTACTCGGGAGGCTGAGGCAGGAGAATTGCCTGAACCCAGGAGGCGGAGGTTGCGGTGAGGCGAGATCGTGCCATTGCACTCTAGCCTGGGTAAGAAGAGCGAAACCATCTCAAAAAAATATATATATATATTTTAAAAAATTTTTTTAATGTGCTAAAAAGGTTTAAGTACCATTCTAATCTATGTTTCTAGCTCACTGAATCCAGTGAGTTGGAAAAATCTAGTATGTATTTGCTGTGTGTGTAAGAGACAGGGTCTTGCTCTGTCACCTGGGCTGGAGTACAACGGCACAATCATGGTTACTGCACCTTTGAATTCCTAGGCTCTGATCCTCCTGCCACAGCCTCCTAAGTGGCTGGGACTACAGCCACTTGGGTCAATAAATATTTGTTTCAAGCTATCTCCTTATTTAATATGGTCTATAAAATGAAATTATTAAGTAAACATTTAACTTTATATCTTTTATATAAGCCCAACCTTCTCCTTTTTAACGCATGACTTAACACTGTAATTCTTTAGATGACATAACTCTTTAAACAATTGTGTAGTTCTAAAACATTAACCAGGCCCAGTGTGGTGGCTCATGTCTGTAATCCCGGCACTTTGGGAAGCCGAGGCAGGAGAATCACTTGAGGTTAGGATTTTGAGACCAGCCTGGCCAGCATGTGAAACCTCATCTCTACTAAAAATACAAAACAAATTAGCTGGGCATGGTGGCATATGCCTGTAGTCCCAGCTACCTGGGAGGATAAAGCAGGAGAACTCAGGAGGCAGAGGTTGCAATGAGCCAAGATCACGCCATTGCACTCCAGCCTGGGTGACAGAGCAAGACTCTGTCTCAAACAATAAAAATAAACCATTCAAGGCTTGAAATGGACCTTCATTATTAGCATATAACAAAAAAGCATTTCCACACTCTACTCACTGTCTCCACAATCTAGCTTTTTCATTGCCTTGGTTAAAAAAGCTTTTTATTTTAGAATAGTTTTAGGTTTACAGAAAAGGTAAAAATACAGAGTTCTTGTACAACCCAAACCCAGTTTCCCCAATGGTAATACCTTTCATTACTATGACATATTTGTCACAACTAATGAACCAATACTGACATATTATTTACTAAATCCTATACTTAATTCAGTAGTTTTCCCTTAATGTTCTGTTTTTGTTCCAGAGTCTCATCTAGAGTATCAAAATGTATTTAGTTGCTCATGTCTTTTTAGACTCTTCTGGTCTATGACAGTCTCTCAGACTTTCCTTATGTCTGAAAAGTATGTCAAGTATTTTGTGAAATGTTCCTCAATTAAGGGTATGATTTTTTCCCTCATTATTAGATTATGTTTGTGGGTTTTTAGGGGGAAGACATTACAGATATAACTACCATTCTTAACATATCAAAGGTACATGCTATCAACATCACTTATCACCTATAATACTAAATTTAATCACTGGGTAGGTAATATTTACCAAGTTCTCTACTTCAAAGTTGTGTCCCCCTTTTGAAACTTTACTATTCAGAAGCAAGTCACTAAGCATAGCCTACATTTAAGGAGTAGAACTTATATTTCATCTCCTTGAGGAGGGAGTATTTAATTTGGAATTATTTTGTATGTATACTGTCCTATTCTAGCTAATTGTTCATCCACTCACCTTTATGTTATAAATTACTTAAGAGTATTCTACTTTCCAGGCAGGTGCAATATTTAACAAATGTTTGCCAAATATGTAAATTTCCAAAAGCATGTAATAAAAATAAACTGGTTCATTATTTTATCTTTAACATCTAGAATATAAGTGCCTGAATTATTACAGAATATTCAGAATTATAACATAGGCTCCATAAGAACAGGGATATCTTGTTATTAAATATTGTATCTCTAGATAGTAACTGTACACAGTTCAAGTGCTCAGTAAATATTTGATAAATAATTAAAAAATGTAAACTCTTCTTTACCTTAAGTGTATATACATGTTATATACAAGAATTTCCCTACCATACAGTTTAAGAGAGGAAAGAAAGTACCCAACTAAAAGAAAACACACAGGCTGAAAAGTTAGTCAGTCAGTCAATAAGACGTAAGACCATGCCAGACAAGGATTAAGTCACATATTCCCTATACTTAAAGAATAAACTACATTCTAATGCAACAGGGTTTCTTCTTTTTCTCTAGAAGCTAAGCAAGCACTGGCTTCAAAATAAGCAATATTGAAATAACTGCAGCTTACTGCCTGCCAGATGCTCACTGACTCACTCCCGGTTCCACAAGCTGTAACTATAGCTTTGAATGGACAGCAAACTGATTTCAGCAACTTTCTCCTGATAAGAGTCACCAACCATGGACTGGTTCTGGCCCATGTATACAAAGACTGAGCATTGAATGCCTTCCCGTCCTTGGCTTATCTTTTGACAACAGGGCCTAATTGTAATGTATTTAAATGTTAAGTCCCCACCCCAAAGTAAACAAGAGATACATGTAACATGCATGTTTGTCTACTATGCATGCTTGTGTTCCCCTCTTCATGATATTCATAGCTCCTCCTATAGCCTACTGATTATGTATACTTGGCCAACTTTCAGCATAAATTCTTACCTTACCCTTCCCTTCTGTAAAGTGCCTGCTTTTAGTCTTTGCCAGAGGCTACACTTCCCAGCCCACCAGGATGGCCAACCTGCAGGCTCTAACACTTTATAAGAGTTAAAGCTCTTATCTCCAAATTTGTAAAGATCCTGTGATTCTTTGAAGTACCTCCTGACTAAAGAATGACATAGAGGAATGAGAGAAGTAAGGCTAAGGAAACAAACAGGAGTCTGGACCTAAAGGAATTTACATGTCATGTTAACAACTCTAGACTTTATCCAATAATAAATATAATCCTTAAAGAGTTAAGTAGAGAACTAACATGATTAGATATTATTTTCCATTATTTCTATTTCTTTTTTTGAAATACTCTGTTGCCCAGGGTGGAGTATTGTGGTGCTATCTCAGCTTACTGCAAGTTCTGCCTCCTGGGCTCAGGTAATCCTCCTACCTCAGCCTCCCAAATAGCTGGGACCACAGGTGGCAATTCAGCCACTATATCTGGATAATTTCTTTGCATTTTTTTGTAGAGACAAGGTTTTACCACGTTGCCCAGGCTGGTCTCAAACTCCTGGACTCAAGTGATGCAAGCACCTTAGCCTCCCAAAGTACTGAGGTTACAGGCGTGAGTCACCATGCCTGGCAGAGAAGTAACATGATTAGATATTAATCAGAAAGAAAAAACACCCTCATTCTGAATTCATGCAGTAAAAATACGATGGAGGGAAACAATAACGAACACAAGGAACCCAGATGAAAGACTGGTTGTGAAAGACAGAGGCCTGGACTAGAAATGGCAAAGGAGTGGTAGTACCAAATGAATTTATGCATGATTTAGGAAACAGAATCAACAGATTCTGGTAATTCACTAAAGGTAAAGTTTTAGGGAGAAGACAAAGTAAAGAATGTATAGCCTATCAGTCAGGGTGTGTACTGCTGATAGGCAGGCTGGCAGATGAAAAGATAGTAATCTGTGTTTGAGGGGTGCTGAGTCACACCAAGACTGCTACATGGGTTTAGAAATTATTGGAAAGATAAAGGCTAGAGAGAGAACTTGAAGAGTAATCAGCATATAGATAGTAACTGAAAGACAGATGTGGATAAGATCAGTCAGGAGTAGAAATACAGGGCTTAGGTTGGAAGGTGAAATGTTGAGGACTAGTATTTTAGAAGTCTTTACTTATCCAAACATTATTAAGAATATGTTGGTTAGGTATGATGGCTCACACCTGTAATCCCAGCACTCTGGGAGGCCAAGGCAAGGGGATCACCTGAGGTCAGGAGTTCAAGACCAGCCTGGCCAACGTGGGGAAACCCCGTCTCTACTAAAAATACAAAATTAGCCAGGAGTGGTGGTACATGCCTGTAATCACAGCTACTTGGGAGGCTAAGGCAGGAGAATCGCTTGAACACGGGAGGCAGGGATTACAGTGAGCTGAGATCATGCCAAAGAATATGTCAAAAAAGAAAAAGAATATGCCAGTGTTCATACAGAGAACATGGGTAAAGTACAAACAGTAGAAAGCTAACTTTTAATTGTTCTACCCAGATTCACTATTTAATTAAACAGATCCAAGAACACAAAAGAAATACTCATTATATAAGTCAGTTCTTCCCAGAAGAAGCAGTGTAGTTTGGGAGAAAAATACTGGATCCACAAACCCAGGACAATGTGGGGTTCTAGTCTGGTTGTACTAACAACCAGCTATATGACCACGCAACTAAAAACTGACCAGTTTCATGTATAAAATGAGCTGTTTAGATCCTTTCTAAGTCTAAGAGTCAATGATTCCATTGAGATCATTCTATAGTCCAGCAAGATATACAAATAAGACTTTATATCAGAAATAATAGTATAAAATATGAGTATGGGACACAAACAAATCTAGGGATTGAACTACTCTCATTTACTAAATTGTTAAAAGTTGGCAAGTTGCTTCTCTATGCATAAGTGAACATATTACACAGAATTTTATTAACACAAGATAAGGTACATAAAGTGTTTTACACAGTGCCTGGTATATACGAACATTTTGCAAATGTTAGCTATTATTATTGTTTTAAATATCTTTAGTAATAAACTCTAAAAAATCCATATTGTAAGACGTAGCACTTTCAACATCGATATAGCACTTACAAACCATGTAAAAGCAGTGGCTACCACCTATTTAAAATATGATAAAGTCAGAGAAGAGCAGAGAGAAAACAGAATGTCTTGGAGGCAGTGGGTGACCTCATTACCTGGAGGTCCTGCAGCAGCTGCATCTTCCATGAGTTCCCCCTCTTCTAACTCCATGTTGTTATATTCCACATCATTTTCTCCAGACCTAAGAGTATACAAAATCTATCATTCTTACAGAGCAATATAATGAACGTTGTTTTTCACACCTCAATATATTTTACAATATGCACAAATTAGTCTGTGAAGATATTTCTAAATACAAAAAGGAGAAAGATTTTTGTCACTATCACAAATTTAAGTAGTGTTTATGTTCTTGTTTAAACAACCTTTAAAAAATTCAGTCAGTTCCTAGAAAGCTAAGAAAAAGGCCAGGTGTGGTGGCTTACGCCTGTAACCCCAGAACTTTGGGAGGCCAAGGCAGGAAGATCATGAGGTCAGGAGTTCAAGACCAGCCTGGCCAATATGGTAAAACCCCATCACTACTAAAAATACAAAAATTAGCTGGGTATGGTGGCATGTGCCTGTAATCTCAGCTACGTGGGAGGCTGAGGCAGAACTGCTTGAACTGGGACCTGGGAGGCAGATGCTGCAGTGAGCCAAGATTGTACCACTGCACTCCAGCTTGGGCTACAGAGCAAGACTCCGGGGAGAGAGATCCAAGATGGCTGATCACTAGCAACTCGGGATTGTAGCTCCCAGTGAAAGCACAGAGAACGAGAGGATGCCACACTTTCAGACGAATTTTTGTTGCTCACAGACCAGGAGATTCCCAGCGGAGGAGCCCCACGGGTCACCAGTGTGACTTTTGTGGCCGGTGCGGTGGTTTTGCCAGAGCCTCGGCGTGGCGGTTCTTGGTACAGAGTAAACGGGACTGCGTCCCCTTTTGGCTGATGTTTGCAGCTCCGGGAAGGCAGAGTCGCCTATTCAGCTGATTGAAGGACAGCCTCAAGAAGGAAGCCAGACTGGATATTCCCAGGCAGAAAAGCATCATCAATCTTAACGCTGCTGTTTTAGCCGGCCTAGTGTGTTGCTCAGATTCCGGCGCTGGGAATCAACAAATTGGACATCCACTCAGAAACCTACTTAGAAAGTCAGTAATTACAAAGACGAAAGATGGATAAATTTATAACAAAGGGAAGAAATCAGCCTAAAAAGGCTGAGAATACCCAAAATCAGAACGCCTCTCCCCCTACAGGGGATCACAGTTCCTCATCAGCAACGGAGCAAGGCCTGATGGAGAACGAGTATGTTCCATTAACAGAAGTAGGCTTCAGAAGGTGGATGATAAGAAACTTCTGGGAGTTAAAAGAACTTGTTCTAACCCAATGCAAAGAAACTAAGAACTTTGAAAAAAGGTTTGACGAAATGCTAACAAAAATAGACAATATAGAGAGAAATATAAGTGAATTAATGGAGCTGAAAAACACAACACGAGAACTTCACGAAGTATGCACAAGTTTCAACAGCCGAATTGATCAAGCAGAAGAAAGGATATCAGAGGTTGAAGACCAACTTAATGAAATAAAATGAGAAGACAAGATTAGAGAAAAAAGGATAAAAAGGAATGAGCAAAGTCTCCAAGAAATATGGGACTATGTGAAAAGACCTTATCTACGTTTAATAGTTGTACCTGAATGTGATGAAGAGAATGAATCCAAGCTGGAAAATACTCTTCAGGATATTTTTCTGGAAAACGTTCCCAACCTAGCAAGGCAGGACAATATTCAACTCGAGGTAATACAGAGAACACCACAAAGATATTCCTCAACAAGAGCAACCCCAAGGCACATAATCGTTAGATTCACCAGGGTTGAAATGAAGGAGAAAATACTAAGGGCAGCCAGAGAGAAAGGTCAGGTTACCCACAAAGGAAAGCCTATCAGATTCACAGCAGATCTCTCAGCAGAAACCCTACAAGCCAGAAGAGAGTGGGGGCCAATATTCAATATCCTTAAAGAAAAGAACTTTCAACCCAGGATTTCATATCCAGCCAAACAAGCTTCACAAGTGAAGGAAAAATAAAATCTTTTGTGAACAAGCAAGTACTCAGAGATTTTATTACCACCAGGCCTGCTTTACAAGAGCTTCTGAAAGAAGCATTAAACAACCAGTATTACCCTTTCCAAAAATATACCAAAAAGCAAAGATCAACATAATGAAGAATTTACATCAACTAATGGGCAAAACAGCCAGCTAACATCAAATGGCAGTAATAAACTCACATATATTATTATTAATCGTAAATTTAAATCGACTAAATCCCCCAACAAAAGAAACAGCCAAAGCCCATCAGTATGCTACATCCAGACCCATCTCACATGCAAGGATACACAAAGACTCAAAACAAAGGGATGAAGAAAGATTTACCAACCAAATGGAGAGCAAAAATAAATAAATAAATAAAAAGCAGGAGTTGCAATTCTCACCTCTGATAAAATAGATTTTAAAGCAACAAAGATCAAAAGAGGCAAAGAAGGTCAGTACATAATGGTAAAAGGATCAAGGCAACAAGAAGAGCTAACGATCCTAAATATATACACACCTAATACAGGAGCACCCAGATAAATAAGACTTATAAAGAGACCTAGATTCCCACACAATAATAGTGGGAGACTTCAACATCAATATTAGATAGATCAACGAGACAGAAAATTAACAAGGATATCCAGGACTTGAACTCAGATCCGGAACAAGTAAACTTAATAAACATTTATAGAACTCTCCACTTTAAATACACAAAATATACACTCTTATCAGTACCACATCACACCTACTCACAGGTTGAAATGAAATATTGGTTGGCTACTTATTTGTTATTTTCTTCCCTCATTTTTTCCTGTCTCCATTATTCGGCACAATTATTGGCATAAAAGAGGTTTTCAATACCCATTTTTAGACTGCATTCTAGCCAGGGCAATAAAGCAACACTACCATTCTCTCTCCCTCTTCCTCTCCTTCATTTTTTTCTTTCTCTTTCTTTTTCCAAAAAAAGAAAAAAAGAAAACAGAGCAAGACTCCATCTCAAAAAGAAAAAAAAAAAAAAAAAAAAAAAGCAAGCCAGGAAAAAAGAATGAAAAGGACTGGGTGCTGTGGCTCTCATACTTGTAATCCCAGCACTTTGGGAGGTTGAGGTGGGTGGATCACAAGGTCAAGAGTTCGAGACCAGCTTGACCAACATGGTGAAATCCCATGTCTACTAAAAATACAAAAATTAGCCAGGTGTATTGGTGGGTGTCTGTAATCCCAGCTACTCCGAAGGCTGAAACAGAAGAATCTCTTGAACCTGGGAGGCGGAGGTTGCAGCAAGCCAAGAGGTGACAGAGTGAGACTCCATCTCAAAACAAACAAACAAACAAACAAAAAATCCCACAATAAAATCACACACCTATCAGAATAGCTATGATAAAAACCAGTGACAACGATAAATATTGGTGAGGATCCAGAGAAACTGGATAACTCATATACTGCTGGTGGGAATGTAAAATAGTACAGCCATTCTGAAAAATCATTTGGCAATCTCTTTAAAAACTAAATATGCAATTACCACATGATCCAGCATTTACATTTATCTCAGAGAATGAAAAATTACATTGACATAAAAACCTGTACATAAATGTTTACAGTATCTTTATTCATCATAGCCAAAAACTGTAAATAACCCAGATGTCCTTTAGTGGGTAAATGGTTAAACAAACTATATCCACAACAAAAAATACTACTCGGCAATAAAAAGAAATGAAGTATTGTTGCACACATTGACATGAATGAATCTCCAGAGAACTAAGCTGAGTGAAAAAAGCCAACCCCTTAAGATTACATACTGTATAATTCCACTTAAATAAAAATTTTTAAATGACATAATTAAAACTGGGGAACAGATTAGTAGATACCAGGGGGTAAAGAGATGGCTGAAATGGGAGAAAAGTGGGTGTGGCGATAAAAGTGCAACCTGAAGAATTCTTAGGGTGATAGAAATGTTGTATATCTTGACAATATCAATGTCAACATCCTGATTGTGATGTTGTACTATCATTTAACAAGATATTACCACTAGGTAACAGATATTGGCATCTCTGTATTATTTCTTACACCTGCATGTGTATCTATAATTATGTCAAAATTTTTAAAAAACGAACAGCAGGAAGAAAATATACAGTACTATCATAGAAAGATCAATGAGCGTAGAGGCAGAAGATGAGAGAGAAGGAAAAAAGGACTGTTCAATGAGTATGCTTTAGTTTAAAAAGCTACTTATAATCATTACCCAAGTAAACTGTATGCCTATTTCCTCATTTTTTTTTCTTTGAGAAAAAGTTTCGCTCTTGTTGCCCAGTCTGGAGTGCAATGGTGCAATCTCAGCTCACCGAAACCTCTGCCTCCCAAGTTCAAGTCATTCTCCTGCCTCAGCCTCACGAGTAGCTGGGATTACAGGCGCACACCACTGCACCTGGCTAATTTTTGTATTTTTAGTAAAGACAGGGATTCCTCATGTTGGTCAGGCTGGTCTCGAACTCCTGACCTTAGGTGATCCACCTGCCTTGGCCTCCCAAAGTGCTGGGATACAGGTGTAAGCTACCACACCCGGCCCTTTCCTCATTCATATAAGGAATTAACCTTAATCTCTGAGAGCTAACATTTTACGATTTAAATACTCAAAATGCCTCAAGATTAACTGTGCTATTATTTCTATGAATTATACCAAACAGTGAGAATCAAGATATTACTGTAGATACATGTATACAGAACATAGTCAAATGTTTAAATGTTTTCTATTAGAAAAAAGAGGCTGGACACGGTGGCTCACGCCTATAATCCCAGCACTTTGGGAGGCCGAGGAGGGTGGATCACGAGGTCAAGAGATCGAGACCATCCTGGTCAACATGGTGAAACCCCGTCTCTACTAAAAATACAAAAATTAGCTGGGCATGGTGGTGCGTGCCTGTAGTCCCGGCTACTCGGGAGGCTGAGACAGGAGAATTGCTTGAACCCAGGAGGCGGAGGTTGCAGTGAGCCAAGATCGCGCCATTGCACTCCAGTCTGGGTAACAAGAGCGAAACTCCATCTCAAAAAAAAAAAGAAAGAAAAAAGATTAAAAAGTCAATCTAATTAAAAGTTGTAAAGAATGTTTTACGTAAAACCCAGTGGCCCTCAGAACCACCTTCAAATAAAGTCAAGTAACATAACAAAGAAATTAATTCAGTGAGTACTGCACATGTAAGCAATAAGCAATAAAGTTATATTTCACTTTAAAAAGCATTATCTAAAAGAATAAACTGTAAATTTTCCATATTGACTCAAAATAATCAGTTCTATTTTATATATCTAAAAATCTCAATAAACTTTTAGAGCTGGGCATGGAGGCATATGCATCTATAGTTCCAGCTACTTGGGAGGCTGTGGTGGGAGGATCACCTTGAGCCCAGGAACTTGAGATCAGCCTAGGCAACATAGCAAGATCTCATCTCTTTAAAAAAAAAAAAAAAAAAAAAAGGCCAGGCGCAGTGGCTCACGCCTGTAATCCCAGCACTTTGGGAGGCCGAGGCAGGTGGATTACGAGGTCAAGAGATTGAGACTATCCTGGTCAACATAGTGAAACCCTGTCTCAACTAAAAATACAAAAAATTAGCTGGGCATGGTGGTGTGTGCCTGTAATCCTAGCTACTCAGGAGGCTGAGGCAGGAGAATTGCCTGAATCCAGGAGGCGGAGGTTGCGGTGAGCCGAGATTGTGCCATTGCACTCCAGCCTGGGTAACAAGAGTGAAACTCCGCCTCAAAAAATAAATGAAAAATAAAGTTTTTAATTAAAAAAAAAACTGAGTAACTTCTGATTTAGGGACTTCAAGGTAACTTGGCTTCACATTTTAACTGACTAGCCCATTTTAGACATTTTGTTACGTATGCTAAAGGGGAAAGAGTAAGTAAAAATTTATTTTGAAGAGCTTATCAGTGAGAAGATTAAAAAGTCAATCTAATGACTTTTAAATTTGGATCAAATAGAGTGTTAAAACTGTTACCTTACTCTTTTGTGAAACAGCTGATGCCAGTGTTGGGACAGAGTAAATATGAGATAAACCTGAAATGTTTTGTGCTGAGTCCTAATAAGGGAAAAGGAGTCAGGGTGGTGGGAACAGGGGAAAGCAAAAGGAAAAAAAAAGCAGATAATGCAGTGAGCCGAGACTGTGCCACTGTACTCCAGCCTGGGTGGCACAGCAAGACCTCATCTCAAAAAAAAAGAAAAAGAAAAAGCAGATAAACTCTAAGTCTGCCTTTCTTCACAGTCCAGGCAGTGTAACCCTCCAGTGTAAATAACTCATGATCTTCCTGTGACTGACTGCTCACCAGACACTCGGGTTTACAGAAAAATGGAAGTTAGCTCCCGCAACCTTGGTATTATCAGTACTGGGTATAACCCTCTCCAGCAAAAGCACCATCCTATAAAATCCGCAACCTTTGTTTCCTTGCAGTCAGTTCCTCTCTTGCTTATTTACCCATTGCTTTCTTGTAAAGTATTTTCATATTTTCTCTAATAAATCTGCCCTTTTTCACCTACAACTGTCTTGGTAAAGTCCTTTACTGCCCACACCACTGACCCCAAATAGCTGCTACCTGTGACATGTTATAGTATCAGAAAGTAAAACAGTGCTTACAAAATGATGGAGACATATCAAAAACAAAAGGAATTGGCTATAACAGGTTCTCAGTGGCCAAATCCCAGATAATCCGAGCAATAAAATGTGTAATGGTAATAAATAATTAAATCATTTGGTAATATAAGAATTGGCTGGGCACGATGGCTCACGCCTGTAATCCCAGAACTTTGGGAGACCGAGGTGAATGAATCACCTGAGGTCAGGAGTTCGACACCAGCCTGGCCAGCATGGTGAAACCCCTTCTCTACAAACATAAAAAGAAATTAGCTGAACATGGTGTCGGGCGGCTGTAATCCCAGCTACTCGGGAGGCTGAGGCATGAGAATCTCTTGAAACTGGTGGGTGGAGATTGCAGTGAGCCAAGATTATGCCACTGCACTCTAGCCTGGGTGACAGAGTGAGACTCCATCTGGAAAAATTAAAAAAGAAATCCATAGGCCATACAGGCCAGGCACAGTGGCTCACGCCTATAACCCTAGCACTTTGGGAGGCCAATGCAGGCAGATCACTTGAGGTCAAGAATTCAAGACCAGCCTGGCCAACATGGTGAAACCTCATCTCCTCTAAAAATACAAAAAAAAAAAAAATAGCCAGGCATGATGGTGTGCACCTGTAATCCTTGCTAATCAGGAGGCTGAAGTGCAAGCATCGTTTGAACCAAGACGTGGAGGTTGCAGTGAGCCAAGATCTTGGCACTGCATGACAGCCTGAGTGAGAGCGAGACTCCATCTCAAAAAAAAAAAAAAAAAAGCTCATTCACATTAATGAAATACATTACAGCAAGACTCCATCTCAAAAGAAAAATTCATTCACATTAATGAAATTAATTAGTTCACCAATTAATAGGGCAGAAGGGAAGGTTCTTCCTTAAATTGCCACTAATGAATGAATAAGAAATAATGGAATTAGAAAAAAACACCATTTGGCAATCAACACAGTAACCTTTTTCAAGCAACAATCAAGGGATATCAAAATTCACAGAAAAAAGTAGGATGAAAAATAGGTATTTACAGTATCACAAATAAGATACTTATTAATTATAAAGAAAAAAGTAATTTTGGAGTGCAAAAACCTGGCAGATGCTACCTCAACCGAGTGATCAAAATTAACTACCAGGAATGGGACATATTGACATCATGCTCCACTCCCATATGATGCAGTGAAAAGGATACATTATCATTTCTGTAGTATCCCTGACAGAAGTGAGTAACCTCTATCTACTCATGAGGAAACTTTAGACTAATCCAAATTGAGGAACTTTCTACAAAATAAACTATTCTGTATATCAAAAAGTATGAGTCATGAAAAACAAATTTTGAAAAGAGTAACAACCCAGACTGAAGACGACTAAATCGATTTAACAACTAAATGCAATATGATCTTGACAAAGAACATTACTGGCAAATTTTTAGAAGGTTATAGTATTACATCAATGTTAGTTTCCGGATTTTGATAACTACATTATACTTATGTTAAGAATATCATTGTTTTTAGAAAAGTACACAGTGAGAAGTATATTCAATCTCAAGTGTTTCAGGAAAAAATCATATACAGAGAGACATAAAGCAAAATATTAACACTTAGGGAATGAATCTGTGTGAAGGAAATATGGAATTCTGAAGTTTTCTTAAGCATGAAATAATTTCAAAATTAAAATTTAAAAGTTAAAACAAAAATTCTTGGCTAAGAGCCAAGAGATGAGATGGAGAAAACCGGCTATTGATTCAATATTTCAAAAAACTGCCGAATATCCCTATTTTTAAGTGTGTTAGTTAATATGCTTCTAATAATTACCACTTAAATGCTTTACAGTAGTAAAGTGGGATACTCACATAGTTTCTTCATCAATATCATTTTCTTCTGTATTACTTGTTGCTGTGGAACTAGCAGAGGAACTGCTGCCATCAAGCTGATTTACTTCATCCTCACAAACAAGATCCAGATCCAGATCTCCATCTGAAAGCTCATGCTAGATCAAGGCCAAGAAAACAAGATGTCTATTCCAAATGTTTCCACTCAGTTGATCACCCCATCCAGCCCATAAAATAAGCACCAATGAGTAATACAGTTATCAGAAGTCTGTTCTCTGCTCCTGTGCCTCAGCTGCTGAGTCCTGTAGAGAAAAATCACACAACCACACTGACTGATACAATTTTACTAATTTATGAGTGCCGCCTTCAGCTCTACTACAATGCCTCACATATTCCATATCAGATTCCTCAGAGTAATGTTTCAAACCATTACTCCTCTATTCTACCTAATTTTACCATTATCAAGGTCATTAATTAACTGTCACCTATCTGCACAGAAAAAAATACCCACTATTAACCAAAAACTTTCAGCTGCCTTACCTGCAAACTCCACCCTTCCTTTAACTCAGTTTATCAAAGGCTAACTGCTTCACCTGACTGTTCCATTCCAAACCCTATTATCTCCAGTTTATCAAAGCATTTAATCTTCTTCTGATTCTCTCAACCCACTGGGTCCTTCATTTTAACATAAAACTGAAGTTTCTCATCTTAAAAACTACACAGAAAACACACAATTGTCTATGCATCCCTTCTTATGTAAAAATATCAACTACTTCTTGAATTCTTATTCTGGATTCTGGTTGTTGTTTAGCTGGGATAGAATCTGGCTATCTTCCGAATCCTAAATCATTCTACCCACATAAGTAACAATAAGGTGTGTACTCGTTTTAGTGAATAAAAATAGGACTTTTTTTTTTTTTTTTAGTTGGAGTCTCTCTCTCTCTCTCCCAGGCTGGAGTGCAGTGGTGCAATCTCAGCTTACTGCGACCTCCGCGTCCCAGGTTCAAGCGATTCTCCTATCTCAGGCCTCCTGAGTTGCTGGGATTAGAGATGAGTGCCACCACATCCAGCTAATTTTTGTATTTTTAGTAGAGACAGGGTTTCGCCATGTTGGCCAGGCTGGTCTTGAACTCCTGACCTCATGTGATTCACCTGCCTGGGCCTCCCAAAGTGTTGGGATTACAGGCATGAGCCACACGCTCAGCCAGCACACATTTTTAAAATCCACAATTTATGGTAGTTTAGTTTCTAAAATGTACATCACAGTTTGTTTTGTAGAATGTATATATTTTTTTCAGAACCTTGAAATGCTTTGATTCAACAACTTCTGACTTATTAACATTTACATAAGGGCATACACACACATTACTAATGGAAATCAATGGACAATATTTTCAGCACATTATATGTTACAAGCCATGATTCTACTGTTTCTTTTATCAAGCACAAAATAAATCTAAAACTGGCCAAATTATTACATGATAATCTTCATTTTGAATCTTCTCCTCATCTTCTTCATCCTCTTTGGCCTGTCTTATAGAAGCTGTAGGACCACCCTCGAGAAGCATGTCAGAGCACGCAGACTTCTTAGCTCGTGTCTCAGGAGCATCATCATTTTGGGGGCTGAGATGGTTATCTGGTGGTGACAAATCTCTTGATTTCTGAGTTCGAGACAGCTCAATAGTAAGTTTCTTTTAAAACAAGAAAAGCACAAATATTAGCCATACCTCACTGACACAGTAAAAGACGTTTCAAGTAAAAAAAAAAAATGCATCCAGATGTTCCTAAAACCATTTTTCTTTCCTTTTTTTTTTTGAGAACAGTCTCCCTTTGTGGCCCAGGCTGAAGTGCAGTGGTGCCATCATAGTTCACTGAAAGCCTTGAACTACTGGGTTCAAGTGATCCTACTGCCTCAGCCTCTCAAGTGGCTGGGACTGGCGGTGTGTGCTACCACACTTGGCTAATTTTGTTGTTTATTTGTTTTTACAGACAGTACCTCATTACATTGCTCAGGCTGATTTCGAACTCCTGAGCTCAAGCGATCCTACTGCTTCAGCGTCTCAAATGGCTGGGACTAGAGGTGTCTGCCACCATGATTGGCTAATTTTGTGTTTTATTTACAAAGATGGTATCTCGTTATGTTGCCCAGGCTGGTTTTGAACTCCTGGGCTCAAATGACCCTCTGGCTTAGCAACCCAATAAGCTGAGATTATAGAAGTGAGCCACCTAACTTGGCACCATTTCTTAAACCATTTCTCTGAATCCCTACTGCCTTTTATTTATGAAAAAAAAATGATGACAAAGATAAATTGCCCCATTTATGCTCATCCTCCTCCTTTCATATCCAGTCTCAGCTGAACATAAAATTAGCAAGCAGTATAGTAAATACAGGCGGTTTTAAATAGTATATTTAACATGAAAATCTCTGAAAGCATATTTTCCTCCCTGACCTACTAACAACTGTCAGCACTCCAAACCTCCCACACATCCTAAGTTCCTAATGAAACATTCCTTAGTTTACCACTGTAAAATAAAAATTCATCAACTAATCTTCCCCAGTGCTCATTCAACAATACTAAGAGTTCAAGATGGGACAACTTTTAATTGTGCTATAGCCTAGAATCCTCTAAATCCAAGGTAACTTGTAGAAGAGAAATTAAGTCACTGACAGGAAGAACTTACCTCAAACTACAGCCACACTGTTCAATGCAACTTTATGCAATAATGCAAATGTTCTAGATTTCCAGTACCCAATGCAAGCACTTGAAATGTGGCTACTGCAACTCAGGAACTAAATTTTTAATTTTAATTAAGTTAAATATACAGAACAGGGCACAGTGGCTCACACCTATAATCCCAGCACTTTGGGAAGCCAAGGCAGGCAGACTGCTTGAGCCAAGGAGTTCAAGACCAGCTTGGGCAACACAGAGAAACCCGTCTCCATAGAAAAATACAAAAATTAGCCATGGAATATGCCCAGAGTCACAGCTACCTGGGAGGCTAAGGTGGGAGGATCACCTGTGCTTGGGAAGTTGAAACTGCAGAGACTAGAAATTGTACCTGGCAACAAGAGTGAGACCCTGTCTCTTAAAAAAAAAATTTTACATAGCCATATGTGGCTAGTCACTACTAAACTGAACACTGCAGAACTGTTAAGGATGGGGAACAGGATAACCAGATTTTTTTTTTCCAATTACAAATTACAAAATTACAAATAGCACTAAACATATAAAACCTAATTACAAATATAATAAGCCAAAAGGACAACAGGAAACACTAAACCAGAAATAGATATTTCCTTACCTCTTTAAGGTTGTTTATTTGTTGGATATAACTAGTCTGTGCAGCTTCCAACTGAGTAATGTACCAATGCTGGTCCCGGCATTTTTGAAAGAAAGTTGGTGAACGTACCTGAAACCTTAAAACAATCATGCCACATTAAAAAAAAATCCAAATAGTAAAATATTATCAGTCTAGCAATGAATTGGTAATTATAAATTCTACTATTTTGGTTACTTGATTATAAGGCCAAAATTCAAATAAACTCAGAGCTGCTGGTATTTGTTGTTTATACATGTGTCCACAGATTGTGACACAAGTTTCTGAAAAGCCACTTGTCCTCAAATTATCTTTCTCAAGAAATAACATTGTACATTGCAGTTAAGCTCCCAAACTAACCTACTAAGTAAGGCATATTTATTATAATAATGTAGCTAAAATACAATGATGATCATGAGTTGGGAAGAAGAGAGCCACACACTATGCAGTTTCCTCCTAATAAGAAGGAAGATAACTCTTATCCCTTTCTTCCCTAAGTCAGGCCCTAGCAAAATACAAAGTTTTAAGTGCTGCTCTTTATATTTCTCTATTTCATCTCCCGTTCCCGTATTTCCTGGCCCTCAGAAAAAAATCACTTACTGGGTCAATCACCCAGGATTGCTTTACTGTCCTCCAAGAGTTACATGCTTTAAATAAACTACCTCTTGAACTCTTCAAGACAGCAATCAAAACTGCCCATATTACAATATGGCATTATTTCAGCTTATGTTAGGAAAAAAAAGTACTGCATCTACATAAAATCATATTAATATATAAATGAGAGAATCTCAATCTATCCAGAGCTGCTTTTATTTTAAAAAAACCAATTATTAAAGCAAACAAACCTCTTTGTTACTCAGTTTAATGTGACTACATATACAGTGAAAAAAAATGCAGTGAATGTGTAAAAGTGTTTTTGAAGAAAAGAAAAGCCACAGGGCAAGACTAATTAGGACGTCAACCTCTCTCTCATTCCTTCCAGCCATTTCACTCTGCTATACAATGTTAGCTGTCCATTTTTTTCTAGGATTTTTACACCTTAGTGTAAGAACTTACTGAGCATTTAACAATTATCCAGCAATAGATGTCTAATTTTAGTTAGGAATACTTATGAAAGAAAGGATAGAACATAAACACTGATTATAAAACAACAGCCCTATTTAATGTTGGGGTAGTCTTTATAAGTCAGAAGTTTTGGGGCATCATTATATGATGTTATAATTTGATGATCAAAATGAGAACTTGAGTATTTTTTTAAAAAAAGAGATTGGCTGGCCACGGTGGCTCATGCTTATAATCCTAGCACTCTGAGAGGCTGACGAGGGCAGATCATCTGAGGTCAGAAGTTTGAAACCAGCCTGGCCAACACGGTAAAACAGCGTGTCTACTAAAAATACAAATATTAGCTGGGTGTGGTGGCGCATGCCTGTAATCCCAGCTCCTCGAGAGGCTGAGGCAGGAGAATTGCTTGAACCTGAGAGGCAGAGGTTGCAGAGAGCTTAGATCGCACCACTGCACTCCAGAGCATAGTGAAACTCTGTCTCTAAATAAATAAAATTTAAAAAGAGATCAAAATATATTCTGAACTGAACTGAGTAGAGATGATTCACTGTCTAGGAAGTACCCAGTGGCAAGACATTAAAATAAGACCGTCTAAACACTGTAATTTTCTTTAAATGATTTAAACCACTGGTTAACCCTGAACACTAGGTCTAATATTTGTGCCATTAAAACAAAACCAAGCAACAGGTAAAATTTCTTTCTCTTTTAATGAAAGAATGAAATATATATTCATAGCCATAGAAATGCCTTACATTACTTTCTAATAAATACACATAAAATTCCACCAGAATCTCAAACTAAACGAGATTTAAACTTTAAGCAATGTCTCATTAAATAAACATATATACATGATCAAGCAGGATTCATCCCGGGGATGCAAGGCTGGTTCAACATACTCAAGTCTATAAACGTAATTCACCACATAAACAGAACCAAAAACAAAAACCACATGATTATCTCAATTGACGCAGAGAAGGCATTTGACAAAATTCAACAGCACTTTATGCTAAAAACTCTCAATAAACTCGGTATTGACGGAAAGTATCTCTAAGTAATAAAAGCTATTTACAACAAACCAACAGCCAATATCATACTGAATGGGCAAAAACTGGAAGCATTCTCTTTGAAATCTGGCACTAGACAAGGATGCCCTCTTTCACCACTCCTATTCAATATAGTTCTGGAAGTTCTAGCCAGAGCAATCAGGCAAGAAAAAGAAATAAAGGGTATTCAAATAGAAAAGGTGGAAGCCAAATTGTCTCTATTTGCAGATGACATGATAGTATACCTAGAAGACCCCATCGCCTCAGCCCAAAAACTCCTGAAACAAGCAACTTCAGCAAAGTCTCAGGATATAAAATCAATGTGCAAAAATCACAAGCATTCCTATACACCAATAACAGACTTAAAGAGAGCCAAATCAACAACAAAATGCCATTCACAATTGCTACAAAAAGAATAAAATACCTAGGAATACAACTTACAAGGAATGTAAGGGACCCCTGCAAGGAAAACTACAAACCACTGCTCAACAAAATAAGAGAGGACACAAACAGATGGAGAAACATTCCATGTTCATGGTTAGGAAGAATCAATATCGTGAAAATGGCTATACTGCCCAACGTAATTTACAGAATCAACGCTATCCCCATCAAGCTACCATTGACTTTCTTCACAGAACTGGAAAAAACCACCTTGAACTTCATATGGAACCAAAAGAGAGCCCGCATAGCCAAGTCAATTCTAAGCAAAAAGAACACAGCGGGAGGCATCACGCTACCGGACTTCAAACTATACTACAAGGCTACAGTAATCAAAACAGCATGATACTGGTCCCAAAACCAAGATATAGACCAATGGAACAGAACAGAGGCATCGGAGGCAACACAACATATCTACAACCATACAATCTTTGATAAACCCGACAAAAACAAGCAATGGGGAAAGGATTCCCTGTTTAATAAATGGTGTTGGGAAAACTGGCTAGCCATGTGCAGAAAGCAGAAACTGGACCCCTTCCTGACACCTTACACTAAAATTAACTCCAGATGGATTAAAGACTTAAACATAAGACCTGGCACCATAAAAACCCTAGAAGAAAATCTAGGCAAAACCATTCAGGACATAGGAGTAGGCAAGGACTTCATGAACAAAACACCAAAAACACTGGCAACAAAAGCCAAAACAGACAAATGGGACCTAATCAAACTCCACAGCTTCTGCACAGCAAAAGAAACAGTCACTGGAGTGAATCGGCAATCAACAGAATGGGAAAAAATTTTTGCAGTTTACCCATCTGACAAAGGGCTGATATCCAGAATTTACAAAGAACTCAAACAGATTTACAGGAAAAAAACAAACAAGCCCATTCAAAAATGGGCAAAGGATATGAACAGACACTTTACAAAAGAAGACATACATGACGCCAACAAACATGAAAAAATGTTCATCATCACTGGTCATTAGAGAAATGCAAATCAAAACCACATTGAGATACCATCTCACTCCAGTTAGAATGGCGATCATTAAAAAATCTGGAGACAACAGATGCTGGAGAGGATGTGGAGAAATAGGAACACTTTTACACTGCTGGTGGGAGTGTAAATTAGTTCAACCATTGTGGAAGACAGTGTGGCGATTCCTCAAGGACCTAGAAATAGAAATTCCATTTGACCCAGCAATCCCATTACTGGGTATATATGCAAAGGACTATAAATCATTCTACTATAAGGACACATGTACACGAATGTTCACTGCAGCACTGTTTACAATAGCAAAGACCTGGAACCAACCCAAATGCCCATCGATGATAGACTGGACTGGGAAAACGTGGCACATATACACCATGGAATATTATGCAGCCATCAAAAAGATGAGTTCGTATCCTTTGTAGGGACATGGATGAATCTGGAGAACATCATCCTCAGCAAACTGACACAAGAACAGAAAATGAAATACCGCATATTCTCACTCATAGGTGGGTGATAAAAAATGAGAACACATGGACACAGGGAAGGGAGTACTACACACTGGGGTCTATTGGGGGGAATAGGAGAGGGACAGTGGAGGGCGGGGGGAGCTGGGCAGGGACAGCCTGGGGAGAAATGCCAAATGTGGGTGAAGGGGAGGAAGGCAGCAAAACACACTGCCATGTGTGTACCTATGTAACTATCTTGCACGTTCTGCACATGTACCCCAAAACCTAAAATGCAATAAAAATATATATATATAATAATTAGAAGCCCCCTATCCATGAACTTACAGTGTTACTATAGCATTATTTTATAATGAGAATAAAAATTCTGTTTTTATATGCCAATTTCATCTTGAGTCCCATGTAGACAAAAACCATGTCTATATTTTTCTTCTTATCAACTCAGTGTCAGGCACACAGTACAGACTCAAAGTTGCTAAAAACAAAAAATGATGTCATAACAGGAATTTGTTTCTATACTAATATATAACAACACCCATAAGGATGAAACTAAGGCTATAGGAAAATGTCTCTTTTATAGGCTGGTAAAATTGATGTTTGAATAATTTTTTAATTCTCTCTATGGCTGAAGCATGAAACAGTAACATTTCTCTTGGTTAATAGTCAAACCCCAAAAGTCTAAAAAGTTATAAAGAAGATGACTAAAATAATCCCTCCCCTCAAAATACATGATGCCAAGCACAGTGGCGTGCACCTGTAATCCTACTTACTTGGGAAGGTTGAGGCAGGAGGATCACTTGAGCCCAAGAATTCTAGACTAGCCTGCCCAATATAGCAAGACACTGCCTCTATTTAAACAAAGCAAACAAAAAAACCCACAAGTAACAAAAACATGAATCTTTTTTCCTACACTGAAAATACCCCTTTTTAAACATCTTTATACTTCAAGAAAAGTTACAGAAAACACATAATAGTAAATGCTGATATGATAGCAACTCATTTGTCCAGTATGCTCAAGAACAAATAGCTCCAAATAAGGGAAATGTAGGAGTACATTAAATCATTTCCAAGAGAACAACGTTTAAAAGTGTTGTGATGAAAACTTTTCAACTGTTAAATACTATGAAACTTCTCAATTCAATCTCTTTTTTTAAACACTCGAGTTCTCATTTTATCATCAAAGTATAACATCAAGTAATGATGCCCAAAAACCTTTTTTTGGTTTATTTACTTTTTTGTTTTTTTGAGACGGAGTTTCACTCTTGTCACCCAGGCTGGAGTGCAGTGGTGAAATCCTGGCTCACTGCAACATCTGCTTCCCAGGTTCAAGCCATTCGGCTGCTTCAGCTTCCCAAGTAGCTGGGATTACAGGTGCCCACCACCATGACCAGCTAATGTTTGCATTTTTAGTAGAGACAGGGTTTCACCATGTTACCCAGGCTGGTCTTGAACTGCTGACCTCAGGTGATTCGTCTCTCTCCGCCTCCCAAAGTGCTGGGATTACAAGTATAAGCCACTGCGCCCAGCCAATGCCTAAAAACCTCTGACCTGCAAAGTCTACCCTACCTTAAATAGGGCTGTTGTTTTTATTTACTTTATTATTATCTTTGAGAAAGGGTCTCCTTATGTCACCCAGGCTGAGTAGCATAATCTCAGCTCAATGCAATTACCACCTCCTGGGTTCAAGCAATTTTCCTGCCTCCCGAGTAGCTGGGATTACAGGAGCATCCACCATGCCCAACTTATTTTGTATTTTTAGTAGAGACGGTTTCTCCATGTTGATCAGGCTGATCTTGAACTCCCAACCTCAGGTGATCTGCCCACCTCAGCCTCCCAAAGTGCTGGGATTACAGGCCTGTGCCACTGTGCCCGGCCCAAACCAATCACTTTTATTGTTGGTTGGTGGCATAATATTTGCAAGAAAGAACAGAACATAAACACTGACTATAAAACAACAGCCCTGTTTAGCTGGGCATGATGGCTCATGCCTGTAATCCTAGCACTTTGGGAGACTGAGACAGGTGAGTCACCTCGTGTCAGGAGTTTGAGACTAGCCTGGCCAATATGGTGAAACCCCTTTTCTACTAAAGATACAGAAATTAGTCAGGCTATGTGTGCTCCTGTAATCCCAGCTACTGAGGAGGCTGAGGCAGGAGAATCGCTTGAACCCAGGAGGTGGAGGTTGCAGTGAGCCAAAATCGTGCCACTGCACTCCAGCTTGAGCAACTAGAGCAAAACTCTGTCTCAAAAAAAAAAAAAAAGGGAGAGAGAGATGGTTTTCCCAACTACCACCTGAGCTTACTTATTATTAAGTGCTAAATAATGAGAACTCAAGGATATGAAGAGGAGAACAACAGACATGGGGGCCTATTTGAGGGTACATTGTGGGAGGAGGGAGAAGATTAAAAAAATAACTACTGGATACTAGGCTTAGTATACGGGTGACAGAATAATCTGTACACCAAGTCCCCATAATGTGAGTTTATCTATATAACAAACCTGCACATGTACCCCGAACCTAAAATAAAACTTTAAGAAAAAAGTAGAAAATTGCTGGTTTTCATCAACTTTCATCTTGATTCTTCTACTTTTAAATTGCTGTTTTTTTCTTTTTTCAATCTAGACTCTAGATTGAAAATCTCTAGATGAGATTAATTTGCTGTTATTTACAAAAGAACTGACAGTTGTTTTGCAAAGTTAAGTTGTAAAACCAGTCACCCAAATATAATATGCACTGTGAAGTGAAAAAATCATCACATTATCCCTCACTATTGTTAGCTTTCCAAATGGTGAGGTTGCTAGAAGTTCAACAGATAAATGGAACATTACTATATTTATTGGAAGTTGTAGTTTCCCCCTCCTTTTTTTTTTTTTTTTTAAGTTTTAAAGAGATGGAGGTCTCATTATGTTTCCTAAGCTGATCTCAAACTCCTGGGCCCCAGCCATCCACCCATTTCAGCCTCCAGAGTAGATGGGAGTACTGGTGTGCCACTGTACCCAGCTTAGTTTCCTTTTCAATGGAATTACTAACTAGATGTCAAAGAAATGTTTGACTACAAATTTTTGATTATCCACTAAAATAAAAGTTAAGAAAGTGATGATAAAGTTATAGTTGTATGAATTTCAGTATTTACCTTTGTTAACTGAATGATCTCTGAAATGTAGTTCTGATGATATTATTTCCCCACAATAAAAGCCACAACATCAAGTTTTTCCTATTACCTTAAAATCACTGTATCATTTTGTGGATTCAAGTATCCTTCATTTGCAAGTAAGTCCAAACGGAAAAATCTATTATAGCCCCAGCATTCTCCAACTTCAAAGTCAGATGCAAATTCTCGAATGATATTTTTTGTAGGATCATTACAAGACTGGTGAACCATCTCTACACGATATTCGTATCTAAAATTGAAAAACAGACCATTACTATACAGTTAGTAAAGTAAGAATAAAAGACAGACTCATCTAAACATTACGGTCACTAAATAATTACCTGAGAAGAAACCTTATTGATATATGCAGTTACATTTCCTTTTTATTTTTTTGAGATGGAGTTTGACTCTTGTTACCCAAGCTGGAGGGTAATGGTGCAATTTCAGCTCACTGCATCCTCTTACTCCTGGGTTCAAGCAATTATCCTGCCTCCACCTCCAGAGTAGCTGGGATTACAGGCGTGCACCATGCTTGGCTAATTTTGTATTTTCGGTAGAGACAGGGGTTTCACCATGTTGGCCAGGCTGGTCTCCAACTCCTGACCTCGACCTCCCAACATGCTGGGATTACAGGGATGAGCCACCTGCCGAGCTGGAAAAACAGCAGTATATATGTATTTTTTTAGACAAAGTCTTGCTCTGCTGCCCAAGCTGGAATGCAACAGGGTGATCTTGGCTCACTTCAACCTCCACCTCCTGGGTTCAAGTGATTCTCCTGCCTCAGCCTCCCGAGTAGCTGGGACTACAGGTGTGTGCCACGATGCCCAGCTAATTTTTGTATTTTTAGGAGAGACAGGGTTTCACTATGTTGGCCCGGCTGGTCTCGAACTCCTGACTTTGTCATCTGACTACCTCGGCCTCCCAAAGTGCTGGGGATTACAGGTGTGAGCCACCGTGCCTGGCCTAGTTTTTTTTTTAGATGGAGTCACTTTGTCACCTAGGGTAGAGGGCAGTGGCACAGTCTCCACTCTGCAACCTCTGACCCCTGGTTCAAGCAATTCTGCCTCAGCCTCCCAAGTAGCTGAGATTACGGGCACATGCCACTGCTCCCAGTTAATTTTTTATATTTAGATGGGGTTTCATAATGTTGGCCAGGCTGGTCTCAAACTCCTAACCTCAGATGATACACCCCCTCTTGGCCTCCCAAGTGCTGGAATTACAGCCGTGAACCACCACGCCTGGCCAAAACAGCAGTATTTTGAATGGACCACCAAAATACAAATGGCACTAGGTCCTTTTTTCTTCATGAAGATGTTTACCAATATATCAGGTGTAAGACAACAGCTCAAAATAGAAATAATTTTTGAATAAACAAGTAATTCAAAGTTGCTTTTGTTTCACTAATGCAATATTTTTTTTCTATATATTCACTACATATGTTTCCTTAAACGTGAAATTTCTATTATCCTTTGAGGTTTATCATCATGCAATTTTAAAATACAAATTTTGAAATACTCTATTTGTCCAGTACAAGTTATAACAAAGCGAATTACTGTAGAAATTCAAGGCTATAAGATTTCCTAATAGAAAATAAGTATGCAGGCCAGGCATGGTGGCTCACACCTGTAATCTCAGCACTTTGGGAGGCCGAGGTGGGTGGATCACCTGAGGTCAGGAGTTCGAGACCAGCCTGGCCAACATGGTGAAAGCCCAACTTTAAAAAAAATATATAAAAAGAAAATAAGTATGCAGCCAGAACAAGATCATGTTTTTTGTGCAACATGGATGAAAGCTATAGGCTATTATCCTCAGCAAACTAATATAGGAACAGAAAGCCAAATACCACATGTTCTCACTTATAAGTGGTAGCTAAATGATGAAAACTTATGAACACAAAGAAAACAACAGACACTGGGGTATACTTGAGGGTAGAGAGTGGGAAAGGGAGAGGAATAGAAAAAACAACTACTGGGTACTGGGCTTAACTCCTGTGTAATAAAATAATCTGTACAACGAACCCCCGTGACAGGAGTTTACCTATGTAACAAACCTTCATACGTAACTGCACGCCTAAAATAAGAGTTGAAAAAAGAAAATAAGTAGGCTGGACACAGTGTCTAATGCCTGTAATCCCAACACTTTAGAAGGCCGAGGTGGGCAGACCGCTTCAGCTCAGGAGTGTGAGACCGGCCTGGGACACATAGTGAAACCCCATCTCTACAAAAACAAAAAAACTAGCCGGGTATGGTAGTGCATTCCTGTAGTTTCAGCTACTGGAGTGACAGAGCAGGAGGATCACCTGTACCCAGGAGGTTTGCAGTGAGCCATTACTGTGCCCCTGTGGCCAGCCTCAGTGACACAGTGAGACCCTGTCTCAAAAAAAAAAAAAGAAAATAAGTATACATTGGGAAAGCCAATATATTCTGATTTATATATTCAATTGTGTAAAATTTTCAGTTTACAAAAAGTTAAAGAAGATACAGTCTATAAACTTTTGTGCATTGATGGACATCATCAAGAAAGTGAAAAGACAACCTACAAAATGGGAGAAACTATTTGCAAATCATACGTCTGATAAATGTTTAGTATCCAAACATATAAAGAATTCTTGACTGGGTACAGTGGCTCACACCTGCTCACACTTTGGGAGGCCGAGGTACGTGGATCACCTCGGGTCAGGAGTTCAAGACCAGCCTGGCCAATATGATGAAACCCTGTTTCTACTAAAAATACAAAAATTAGCTGGGTGTGGTGGTGCATGCCTGTAATCCCAGCTACTCAGGAGGCTGATGCAGGAGAATTGCTTGAACCTGGGAGGCAGAAGTTGCAGTGAGCTGAGATCACGCCACTGTATTCCAAGCTGGGTGATAAAATGAGACTCAAAATAGGTAAGTAAATAAATAAATGGAGACAGGGTCTCACTCTGCCATTCAGGCTGGAGTGCAGTGGTGGAGACACAACTTACTGTAGCCTTGACTTCCTGGGTTCAAGCAATCCTCCTGCCTCAGCCTCCTCAGTAGCTGAGATGTGTGCAGGGTCTCACTATATTGCCCAGGTTGGTCTCAAATTCCTGGTCTCAAGCAATCCTCCCGCCTTGGCCTCCCAAAGTGCTGAGGTTACAGGTATGAGCCAACCAGCCCAGCAAATTAGTGATTAAACACAAGATATTATAAATTTTACTCTGATGGATGTTAGATACTTCAGCAACCTTATAAATTTTCTTGAGCTTCATTTGGGATGCAGCTAAGTTATTTGAAAACAATTTGATCCTTTCAGGTCTCACATTTGTTAGGTGGGCCCAGAGCAGTATTCAGTCTAGGGCTAATTCCTACTACTGAGGCAAAAACTTCCTTAGCATTATACCCAATGACCCATGAATTATAAATTTCTCCACTGTGGCTGGTTGCAATCCACACAGTTCCTGGCCCTATGTGAGCACCAGGCACTCACTATTCCCTCTAATCATGTCAGACAGTTCTTTTCCCAATCTCAGGTAGTTTCCTCACACATATGCCCTAATAAGTACTCTGCTAAATACTCAAGGGAAACCCATTATGATCTCTAGAATTTAGTCTCTGCGGCTTTTTCCTCTCTGGTATTCTGTCCAATGCACTCTAGCTGCATTGTCCTTCCTAAACTCTCAGCACTATTTCCTCAACTAAATCTGCCAGATTCTACCTCAGTCCTAGCTTCTCCCTGTGTTGCAGCCTAAAAACTCTCTCAAGACTGTAAGCTGGAGAATCACAGATCTAATTTGTGTTTCCTGTCTCTTAGGGACTTCTTTCATTTGTTACCACCATGTCCAGTGTCTAGAAAATGTTGTTTCGTGAGGTTTTTTTTTCTTTTTGGTTATTGCAGGAAAATGGGTAATCTCATCCCTCTTGCTTCATGTTAACTGAAAGCAGATATTCCATATCAAACTAACAAATTTCATGTGACAGAGTAAAAAAAAAAAAAAATCATTAATATGATTCCAGATCCCACATTATAAATAACATTAACCTACCACTTGTTCAGTTTGGGTGTAATATCAAAGAAGATCCACAATTATCTAAAACTACTTTTTAAAAAATTCCTCCTTAACAAAAGGTGTATTTGTGGTTGCCAGGGACTGAGGGAAAGGGGGAATGAGAAGTGACTGCTAATGAGTACAGGGATTCCTTGTGAGGTAAACAGAACATTGTAGATGTTGGTGATGGTTGTAAAACTGCAGCCAGATTTTATACGTGTACTTCAATCAAAATTATATATATAGATAGATAGATATAGATATAGATAGAAAGATAGATAGATATTTTCTTTTTTGAGACGGAGTTTCACTCTTGTTACCCAGGCTGGAGTACAATGGCAAGGTCTCGGCTCACCACAACCTCCGCCTCCTGGGTTCAGGCAATTCTCTTGCCTCAGCCTCCTGAGTAGCTGGGATTACAGGCACACGCCACCATGCCCAGCTGATTTTTTGTATTTTTAGTAGAAACGGGGTTTCACCATGTTGACCAGGATGGTCTCGATCTCTTGACCTCGTGATCCACCCGCCTCGGCCTCCCAAAGTGCTGGGATTACAGGCGGGAGCCACCGCGCCCGGCGCAAAATTATATTTTTAAAAAATTAAATATAAAAGCAGACGTGAGAATCCAGTTGTCTTCTTTTAAGCCAGACAGTAAATATATTTCCAAAAATGCAAAGCATCATGCAGGCAAATGTCTGCTTTCAGCTAAATGAAGCAAGATGGATGAGATTACCCATTTTCCTGCAATAATAAAAAAAACAAAAACCTCATGAAACATTTTCTAGACAGTATTTTTAAGTTTTCTTAAAACTAGTTTTAGAAAAAGTTACTTTTCATTTAAAAATGTTATTTACGTTAGTATGCAATGGCTTGTTGTTATCTTAAAAGTGAATTAAAATTTTAAATAATTTTTTTCAGTTTTAAGTTCTAACTCAGAAAATAACATATATAACCCATATAAACAAAAACTCTTTGGGGTTTCCAGTAAATTTTAAGAGTATAAAGGATCCTGAGACCAAACAGTTTGAGAACTGCCAATATATACCATCCCATGATGCCAAGAATTCCGTATTTCTCTGTATCTTAACAGACATACCAACACAGTAACTAACAAAAATTAAAATTGATAATAATTGCTAGGGGGAATGTATATAAATGCACAGTAAGGTTGTTATTTAATTACACTTCTTACTTAGAAGTTTCAGGCAAGCCAGCTGAGAGTTCCAGAAACACAGATAAGTAGTAACCTCGCACAACTCCATTTCCATCCTGAAAGAAGAATATGAAGTTATACAAATTCCAGATCAGTTTGTGTAAAAAAAATTAAGCCACAATAAAACAAAATGCGGATTAATATCTGATCTCTAGATTGAGAAGTACTTCTAAGCCTCAAAGCAATGGAGGAAATAATAAAAAACACCAATAGATTTGAGTTCTTAACAACTTTAAACTTTTGTGCACTCAACAAACATGAAAATATTAAGGCACAGCAATGAAGTGAAATATAAACAACCATGAAAAAGGTTAAGAGTTTTAACATATATAGAACTCCTACGAATCAACCTTAACAAAAAACCAAGACCCTAATGGGAAAAATAATTTCATTAGAAATGAGTGAGGCAAAAAATTTTAAAAACAAAAGTTAATTTTTAAGACCAACATAGAAAAAGGTAACACCCTAGGCTGAATGTTTAAATATAATTTCTGTATGATTTTAATGTTAGAATTCCATATAAGATTCTGTCTAGAGATTGAGAAGTTGTTTGAATCTCTACTACAGACATTTTATTTTTATAAAGATAATTACTCCCTCCCTTTTTCCTTAATTTGGCAAGATTGTTTTTAAAAAAAGATAATTACTCCCCATGTGTGTTTCCCTAGTACTACAGGTGTCTGTGTTTTAAAAGGATCACATTTACTATAACTACTTGTTTAAACATCTATTCCCCCAATGAGACAATGAAGGCTGAGAACAGAGATGCTTGTACATCTCCAGTGTCTACTGGGATATGACTATAAAGGGGTACAATAAACATCTTCATTTTTAATCTACCTTGCTTCAAAGGACCTGTGGCAGCCTTTGAGGTCTGACATGATAATCACTTAATAGATATCAATGAACAAGTGAATCATCAGCTAGGTGAATAAAGCCAGACACAAAAGATTATATATTATTGTATAATCCCATTATGCAAAACTCTTCTAAAAAAAAATCTGAAACTACGTATTCAAAGTGTTCAGTGTATAACTGAAAATACTAACCCAGGTGGACTAAAATGTGTAACAGTAAATTACTGGACTCAAAAAGATTATTTAGCATCTAGACAATACCACCAAATTTCTTTAAAGGCAAAGAAGTTTATTATCAGACTTTACCTAAAGAAAATGGAATTGCACATTTAAGATACCCAGTGAAAAAAAAATATGGGCTGGGCAAGGTGGCTCATGCCTGTAATCCCAGCACTATGTCAGGAGTTTAAGACCAGACTGACCAACACGGTGACACCTTGTCTCTACTAAAAATACAAAAATTAGCTGGGCATGGTGACACATGCCTGTAATCCCAGCTACTCAGGAGGCTGAGGCAGGAGAATTGCTTGAACTGGGACCTGGGAGGCGGAGGCTGCAGTGAGGCAAGATCACACCACTGCACTGTAGCCTGGGCTACAGAGCAAGACTCCACCTCAAAAAAAAAAAAAGAAAAGAAAAAGAAAATATGAGCCAAGCATTTTACATCCGGCAATACTAACCTTAGACTATAAAGGGCAAAAACTGCTTTCAACATATGATAACTCAGAGAATATTGTTTTCAATCAGCCTTCCAGCAGAATGTACTAGAGAACAAGGTTTGGACAAACAGTTGTCGAATATGAAGGGAGAGGGGGAATAGGGAATGGGGACAGCATATGTAACAACAAGAAATAAAGAGTTAACAGTTCTCAGTAATCAAACTAGTGTACAACAGAACTCTGAAAGAAAGATCTTGGTTTCAAAATGTATTAGAAATATGAAAAACTTACTGGGTAAACTTTTAACCTCCAGCAAAGTCCTGAAACTTGAAGAGGTGGACTGTAAACAGGATCTGCTCTCTGACGCAAAGTGCTAAAGAAAAAGAAAATCAACCATATCCCAAGATCAAAACTGTTGTGAAATGGCAACAGGCAAAAAGAAAAGCCAACCAGTTTCTTTGTTATATATTTGAAATGCTAGACAAATATCAGAAGGTGACTGAACAGGTCAAAATTCCACCGTAAAACTTTAGATATGTTTAAATTCTGAAATAAATTTTTAAAATACTGAAATATTCAGCAATATCTAAGATTCAGGAAACAAACCCCCCTCAAAATTGTGAGGAAGAAAAAGGGGAAAAAAATGTATCATTAAGTCTCCCAAATTTAATAAATGCTTCAATAAGCAGTCTTTCACCATTAAAAATAAAACAAAATCCAGAATGTTTCTTCCGCATTTCTCTGCAGTATAATCATCCTTGTTTAATACTGAAAAAGGAGAGAACATGCACTAAACCTTAATACATGTGGAAAAAACCTCAAAGAGACTATCTTTTAGCCACAAAAGTGTTCTGTAAGAAAAACAAAATTAAATGGGAAAAGGTATAAATTCTCAGTGTGGCCTCATTTTAATGGCCTTTGCCTATTATTTGGAGTTTCCTTCCTGAAGACCTTGTATTCTTTGTTTCCACTTGCATGCTGCCGTCAAAGACAAACTGCTAAGAACCTTGCATTTTATGATCTTCACTTCTGATTTTAGAGAAAAGGTAGTAAAAGCTAACAAAATTAACATGCAACTGACAAAGTCTATAGATTTCTTACAATAATGGTCCCTTATCCACAATTCTTCACTTTGAGCTGAGATAAATGGATCTTAATAAATTTCCTCCCACCACTTTTATTTCTGAGCTTGGGTAAGTGGGGGCTCATCAACCTCTAACTGTCTGGTCCCTCACCTTAGGAAAAGCTAAGTGATCTCTCTTATTAAAAATGGTTCCCCACTTTGGACAGGGCACCATGGCTAATGCCTATAATTCCAGCAATTTGGGAGACCGAGATGGGAGAATCACTGGAGCCCAGGAGTTTGAGACCAGCACACAGTGAGACCCCCCACAACCTTTGTGGTGGTGCACGCCTGTAGTCACAGCTACTTGAGAGGTGGAGGTGGGAGGATTGCTGCAGCCCAGGAGGTTGAGGCTGCAGTGAGCAATGATCAGGCCACTGCACTTCGGCCTGGATGACAGAGAAAGAACCTGTCTCAAAACAAAAAGAAAAGGTTCCTTTCCCCAGACTTGAGAAGCAGTCTAAAGATACAATATAATCCAGCACAAATAAGCTCTATGTTTCTATTTGGAAACTTATTTTTCTAAGACTTCTAAAGTGAATAACACAGTTCACTACATTACTATCTTACCAAAGAATACTTTCCTGGCTCTTCCTTATATACACATACAAAAAATCAGAATTGTCAAAAACTCTTACCTGAAATTCTCTAAAACAAAAGTAGCTGAATCATAAGATGGCACTAATTCACTAAAAACAAGCAAAAGACAAAAAAAAAAAAATTATTTTAGCTTTTACGTTTAAAATTCCATTTACCTAAAAAAAAGTCTCTCAGTAGTATCTTGAAAACATTATTAAACTAAAATCTAAGAAATATTTAAAAATCTTTATTAAACATAACATTAAATCAAATGAATTCATAAAACCATCAAAGGTTTTTCATGTAGAGATACAAATACTTCCTAAAATTTTTTTGGCCGGGCAAAGAGGCTCACACCTATAATCCCAGCACTCTGCAAGGCCAAGGCAGGTGAATCACTTGAGGTCAAGAGTTTGAGACCAGCCTGGCCAACATGGTAAAACCCTGCCTCTATTAAAAATATACAAATATTAGGGAGGTGTGTGGTGGTGCATGTATGTAATCCCAGCTACTTGGCTGAGGCAGGAGAATTGTTTGAACCCTAGAGGTGGAGATTACCGTGAGCCAAGATCACACTACTGTACTCCAGCATGGGTGACAGAGCAAGACTCTGTCTAAATAAATACTTTATACAAGTTTTTTTTCTTAAAAACAGGCCATACAATATGAATAGTTATTAAAGTAAGTACAAGAAATACACTTTAAAAAGTACTCATGGAAATGGGAAAAAGAAAATGATGCTTAGGCTGTGAACCTGAATTATAAAACAGATATAAACATGCTTTAAAAAATGAAAAGAAATAGTGATATCACAATTAATCCCCAAACGTCCTTCTTTGGACAAATTATGGGAAATATTAACAGACCTTAAATATTTTGCAACTTTTTACTAGCAAATGCAACTTCACATGTTTATAGGATTAGAATACCTAATTATCCAAGGGGCAACTGTGATGAACTAGCACATTAACACATTCTTGGCAAGTCAAGATTACTTCAAGCAACTTTAGTCCCATTCAATACTCTTCAAAGAGAACTGAACTATAACCATAGAACGGACTAAAGGGTAAGTCATTTTGCTGCTAACTACTTTTAATCATATAGATGGCTTGTACACTGGCATTAGAACACCTCAAAATTCATGAAAACACTATGAAAAAGCCTGAGTGTTATATATTTGATATGTAAAATAACAAATTTACCAAAACAATAAACTACAAACCATTTCCCCACATCTTCAGAAATATATTCTAAAATTCAATTCATTAGAATTTTGGTTATCATCAAAACAAGATAAAAGATACATCTATAGCACTGCCACACTGTGAGAGGGTCTAAAGAAATTAATGGCTTGCCACATGAAAATACAATATAGGGCAGGGCGCGGTGGCTCACGCTTATAATCCCAGCACTTTGGGAAGCTGAGGCGGGTGGATCATGAAGTCAAGAGATTGAAACCGTCCTGGCCAACATGGTAAAACCCCATCTCTACTAAAAATACAAAAATTAGCTGGGCATGGTGGCACATGCCTGTAGTCCCAGTTAAATGGGAGATTGAGGCAGAGGAATCTCTTGAACCTGGGAGGCAGAGGTTGCAGTGAGCAGAGATCCCGCCACTGCACGCCAGCCTGGCAACAGAGCGAGATTCCATTTCAGAAAAAAAAGAAAATACAATATAGATAAGTAATTCTTTATTTTAATGTAAGTACATACAGCTAAATAGGTCACATCTTTTACACAGTAAGTAGATGAACTTTGCCCTGTGATTAACCGTATAGCTATTATCCAAATTGGCTATGTCAAGAACTCCTATCATATCCCTAGCCAGTTGTTATCCTTCCTTGGAAGGCTCACATTCCTCATCCCCACATCCTTTTGCCTAGTTAACCCTTAGCGTTTCTTCAGATAACAGATTAGAAGTCATATACTCTTGGAGGTCTGCTCTAAGGTCTTCCCATTATATGATCACCTAGCACTCAATATACACAATCCCCAATTAGCAGGGCCAATGCAATTAGTACCTAGGAAGACTTTCTGGAACCATAAACCTAGTAAGAGCTCTCAGGGAGACTTCCCTGAGAGTATAGATTTCAAATCTGACATGCTTTTATAATATTGTGCAGCTTTCAATAAGGTCTCTCATCAAGTACAGACTATCCTCCACAATATGCAAAGACTTTAACCAATCCCCAGTTGTCTATTAATCTGCATACTACTTCTTCCACCATGTCCAGTGTGATTTATTTCTTGTGTTGTTGTTATTGTTATTTCTGCTCTAAGTCCAGACTATCATTATCATATTTTATTGGCCACGAAGGGTCAAAAGACTTCAGCAGAACACAAAATAAAAAGGAGATGCCACTTTCAGCTTAGAACGGTGTAGCAGAAAGCTTCCAGGATAAAGAGAGTTGAAAAAACATGTAAACAAAGCAAAAAGACAGATTAAGAAAAGAGTGAACAAAGCAGCCCTGAAATCAACAATTTAATTAAAGAAGCAACAGAATTTATCAAGCAGAACATCGTGATATCCAGTGGATTTGTCAGAGGCTTTTTGCTCGAACTTGCATCTTAAGGACGTGAATATTCTCCCATGGTGAATTCAACTAGGAGAAGAGAAGTGACAGCGATAAGGCAGTCTCTCAACAGTATATGCTGCCAGAGTCTGCAGGGCAAGGAGAAACAACTAGCTGGACAACATGGAATTCACAACTTAGCATTTTGCCATCCGAGGCTTGGCAAACTAATATCTGCTGTAATACAACCTATACGATATGTGAACCATAGTATTCCTGAGCAAAACATGGCTTTCATCACTTTGTAAAAATTTGCATCTGCTTAGAAATTAGCCTATAAAATATCAACATTGGATGTAAATATGGGGATAAAAGAAATATGTTGGATTTATTGCCTAGAGAAGTATTATTCTTTTTATTTAAATAAAATGTTCTTTATTGTGTTTTATGGTATATGTCAATAATTTAAAATTTGTATTATAGCTTCAGTATTAAGGCTGACTTTTTTTAAAAGACATGTTTGCAATAAGTTAAAAAATTGTAATACCCTTTTGTGGAAAGCTTTAGAAGTGATAATAATTATTAAAGACATTAAACAGACTCTGCTGACATAATATGAAAAAGAAAAGAAAAGAAAATTTCCAGGCTAAAGAGTATAGGCTGCTAACACTCATTAACCAAGAGGGTACAGTCCAGCTTGCCCTAGCTCTCACTTGCAAAGAGAAAATGATCACATTCAGAGCACAAAAAACAGGTACTGTGACATATTTCTATATATGTACATTTTCCAAGGGAAAACTTTTTGGACACAAATAATATAATGACAAATTAGCGATATTGGGCAGGATTAAATGGGATACACTTACCTCCCCTATCACCAGTTACCACATTAATTTTATTACTGTTTCAATCATCTACTTTTCCTCACTAAATAATTATAAATCAAAAGAGCTCTGCATTATGCCTACTGCTAGCACTTAACACAAATCTAAAATATAGCTGGCATACAGTCATTGAATGTTTACAAATAGTTGCTGGCAGATTCACAGAGTTGGAAATATTTGCTCAAAAAATTCTTTTGCAAAAGAAATTATTTTGCATTCTTTTTTAAATTTTTGTTTATTTATTTTTGATACAGAGTCATGCTCTATCACCCAAGCTGGAGTGCAGTAGCACGATCTCAGCTCACTGATTTTGCATTCTTTTTTTTTTTTGAGACAGAGTTTTGCTCTTGTTACCCAGGCTGGAGTGCAATGGAGCAATCTCGGCTCACTGCAACCTCTGCCTCCTGGGTTCAGGCAATTCTCCTGCCTCAGCCTCCTGAGTAGCTGGGATTAGAGGCACATGCCACCATGCCCAGCTAATTTTTTGTAATTTTAGTAGAGACAGGGTTTCACCATGTTGACCAGGATGGTCTCGATCTCTTGACCTCGTGATCCACCCGCCTCGGCCTCCCAAAGTGCTGGGATTACAGGCTTGAGCCACCACATACACAAAGCTATTGCTACTGCTAGGCCATCTAACTCTACCACCTTTAACTATTTAATAACATTCATTTAGAGGTTATCTTCAGTCACACTGATGTTACCATTCTGCAGCTGCAGATGAGGCACTACTTTATCTTTTCAAACTTTTAAAATTTCTCCTACTCTCTTAGAAATGTAGACTACTCTGGTCTTTGTGATGACTGGATTCATATCTTGACGGTGTCAATGAATCTTTGTCTTCACAGAACATGGGAAACTAGCCGCAAACCATCTCTAGCCCAGTATTCTGGAACTCACTGATGTGCAACATCTTCAGACCAATAACCTCATCATAACTTCATGAACAAAAGGAAAAAAGGGAGAACCACAGTACCCATTTGTTCCTTAAGGAAATAGAATGTTAAGCTATATAAAAACTGATTCTCTTTACCAACTTGACTATTTCTCCCTGAAAAATAAAACTCTCTATCAACTGAGAGCTATACTACTGTATTTTTTTTTTTTTTTTTGATACAGAGTCTTGCTCTGTTAACCAGGTTGGAATGCAGTGGTGTGATCTTGGCTCACTGCAATCTCTGCCTCACAGGTTCAAAGAATTCCCTGCCTTAGCCTCCTCATTAGCTGGGATTACAGGTACCCGCCATCATGCCTGGCCAATTTTTGTACTTTCAGTTGAGATGGGATTTCACCATCTTAGCCAGGCTGGTCTTGAACTCCTGACCCCGTGATCCACCCACTTTGGCCTCCCAAAGTGCTGGGATTACAGGCATGAGCCACCATGCCTGGCCTACTATTTTATCTTTCAAGTCCTCCCTGAGGACACATATAGTTTTATTTCTTACTATGCACCAACAATAAATAACCCATCAAATTCTGGTTGAAATCATTTTCTTGCTGTCCTCCAAATATACCAGCTCTTATATCCATATTTTTGTTCATACATACATACACCACCTGCCAAACAAAATCCTATGTATCTTTTCATGTCTTCTTCAATTCCTTTCCAGAAGTCTTGACCATGCCAGTCCCTACCCCTGCCCTTTTTTCAGAATTTCTGATATAAGATATACAACTGAGCAACACATAATACGTTTTTTTGGTTTTGTTTTTGAGACAGAGTCTCGCTCTGTTGCCAGGCGCCAGGCTGGAGTGCAGTGGCACGATCTCGGCTCACTACAACCTCCGCCTCCTGGGTGTAAGCAATTCTCCTGCCTCAGCCTCCCGAGTAGCTGGGACTATAAGTGCACGCCACCATGCCCAGCTAATTTTTGTATTTTTAGTAGAGATGGGGTTTCACCATGTTGGCCAGGATGGTCTCGATCTCTTAACCTCGTGATCCGCCTGCCTCAGCCTCCCAAAGTGCTGGGATTACAGGTGTGAGCCACCACTCCTGGCCCATAACATGTTTTAATAAAGAATTTGCTATTATTTAATGTGAAATATTTACGCAGTAAGATTTTTAGTTCCTATTCTCCCATGCACCACCTACAAACAATACTGGGCACACGGCCTTTAATAAATAACACTTCACTGATTTAGTGACCTTTTCTTCTCCATTGTGGCTCCAACACCAACACTAACTAATGGAACTAAAGGCAACAGAAACACCACTGCTTTGCACATCTAAACTTTGGTGTGTAATTTAATGTCATGATGCTGGTCCCTCTTTTCCTGTATGGTGCAATTAATAAAATGGGCTTCTAGTAAAAATTAAATTAAAAGACAAAATTTCCAATAAGGTAGTGAGCATTACTGGAGAAAGAGAGAAGGCCCTAACGGTGCTTAATTAACAACTAGTGAGCACTGTTGCCTGCCTGATGAGCTGCTGAAAGTGGTGTAAGAATGGGAATTTATATACATATGTTTTATTCCACAAGTGATGAAATGGTTCAGAAAACATATCTTCAAAACTGAAACAGCTCATCACACTATTATAGAGGCAGCCTAGGGATACTGGTGAACATTCTTCAATTAAATCTACTTAATAGTCCTTTTAATAATATTCAGTGCTTTCATTCAGAAACAAGAGATTTAAACAAAAAAGGCAGTGCTTTAAAAAGATACAACTATTTTATGAGGTTGTTAATCAGAAAGAAAGGAAGACTTCTACTGGTCAATGAGAACCACCAGAGTAAAAAACTTTGCCCTTCTGTTTATAGAACTGTGGCATTTGTGACAAGTAAGAAGGGCTTGTAACAGTAATTCTCAGCCAGGGGTGATTTCATCCCCATGGACATTTAGCTATGTCTAGAAACATTTTTGTCACAACTGCAAGGTGGTGGGATGGGGAGTGCTACAGGGATACTGCTAAACATCCTACAAAACACAGGAAATCTCACCCCACTCCACAAATAATTATCCTGCTCAAAATGTAAACAATGACAAGATTGAAAAGCCCTGGCTTATACAATATACTCTAGTATGATGAATGCAGCTGGGCACTGTGGCTCACGCCTGTAATCCCAGCACTTTTGCGAGGTTGAGGCAGGTAAATCACTTGAGGTCAGGAGTTCAAGACCAGCCTGGTCAACGCGGAGAAACCCGTCTCTCCTAAAAATACAAAACTTAGCCGGGTGTGGTGGTGCATGCCTATAGATCCAGTTACCCAGAAGGCTGAGGCGTGAGAACTGCTTGAATCCGGGAGGTGGAGGTTGCAGTGAACAGAGATCACGCCACTGCATTCCAGCCTGGGTGACAAAGAGTGAGAAGGAATAAATAATAATAAATAAATAAAATAATAAATTAAAAAAATAAAACAGTACAATGAATACTCTGAGGTCATCAGAGGGCATCACATTAGAGAAAAAAAAAAAAAAAGGCAGCACAAATACCACACCATGCTAGGAAAACTTAATAGTATTCCGTAAGTCATCTCTAGAAGATAAAGTCTGTCATATCAGAATATTTCTGTAACAGTGGCTTCAACCCTCATCTCAGAATAAGCTAAGGAGATTTAAGAAGAACTGAAAATGCCCATCTAAACCCAGTGTCATAGGCTGAATTGTGTCTCCGAAAATTCCTATGTTAAAGCCCTAACCCCCGGTGTGACTGTGTCTATAGACAGGGCCTTTAGGAAGATAATTAAGGCCAAATGAGTTCATAAGGGTGGGTCTAATACAATAAGGCTTGTGTCCCCATAAAAAAAAAAAAAAAAAAAAGAGACACCAGAGACTGATCTCTCTCCAAACAAGAACAGAGAAAAGGTATGTGAGGACACAGAAAGAAGGAAGCTGTCTGCAAGCTGAAAGGAAAAAAAGCAAATTTTCTGACACCTAGATCTTGGAATTCTTGCCTCTCGAACTGTGAAAAAATACTAGGTTGCTTAAGGCACCTAGTATGTGGTATTTTGTTACGGCAGCCCCAGTAGACTAATATACACACAAAGATTTTCTTTCAAATGGCCTGGGGTATGGTATGAATTGATTAACTTTCAGAAAAATCCCAAGTGACTCCAACATCTAGTCAGAAACTACCAGAATAATTACAAACATGCTTGAAGAAATATGCTGTTCAGAAAAATTCTAAGGTTTAGCCCAAGGTGAAAACTAGGATACTTTTTGCCAAAATTATTTCCTCTCTCTATCTTTTAGGATCTGGAGATAACATGGGGTCACCTTCAAATTCTTTTGGCATTTCATTGGTTTCTGAGTTTTGTGTTAGGAGATATAATTTAATTCAAAAGGTAAGCTGATAAAGCTAATGTCATCAATTATTTTTTTCTACACTACTCTTGGGGAAAAAAATGATTCCTAGTTCATTACTTTCTCTTAACAATCACAAGTATGAGTCAGTTGGTGAGAGTTTTCAGGAGGACTAGATTTGTACATATAAAACAGTGCTCACCAGCTAACCAGACCACTCCATTATAAACAAGACCTTAAAAAGCTATGAAGTGGCCAAGTGTGGTGGCTCATGCCTATGATCCCTAGTAATTTGGGAGGCCAAGATGGGAAGATCACTTGAGTTCAGGAGTTTGAGACCAGCCTGGGGAAAAGTGAGACCCTACCTATAAAATAAAAGAGAGAAATGGCATTAAAAAAAAAATTACATTCTTTTGAAACAAGTATATGCATTTGCACATAAATTTCAAATGAAAATGAAATTAAAAACTGTATCATACCTGGTAAAGTCTGGTGGAACAGGATTGGTAACAAAAGATGCCATGGGCTTCCGATGAACTTGCTGAAACATCATAAGGATCTCTGAGCTCTTAGATATCAACTCACTCTTACTACAAGACCGCAACTGTGTGAGGAAAAAAATTATCTGAACAAACAAAATTACTGTTCACTACAACCTCAAAATTTACAAATTATTCTGATTATAAACTGAAAAAAAAATGAGAAAAAAAAAGTGAGCCTGAGAATTAAGAATCTATTAAAAAACCTAGGTTTATTTCTATAATATTCTAACAGTAAAGTCACTGAATAAATATACTTAATATTAATGCATTTTTCTCTTCTTATATTTTAGGGTAAGTGAGGTTTTCAGCAAGTACAAATATATTTTCAGGCTGATACAGTGAAGTTCTTATGAATATATTAATGAACAAACCTCTAAGTTGAAAGCTTTTAAAAGCAATCATTTCTCAGATTGTATTCTAGGTAACAGAATACAGAATGTATACACACACACACCCATGTACACATAGACACACACCTCATTACTCAATACTAATTTGGGAAACACTACTTTGGGAAAAAGTAATAAATCTAACTTCACTAACATAATCATGGTAGATAAAAGACAAGACCACTAATTTTTTCTTCAAGAAAACCAGTTTAAGTTCCAGTTCTGCCATTGACTAATCACATAACTCTGAGTCTGTTTACATAACAAAACTAGAATAATAATCCACCACTGCTTACTTCATGAAGTTTGTTACAAGGATTATGAAGCTGTAGTGAAAAAGATTTGCAAACTGTTAAGTGTTTAATTTTGTGCCCCTTTCCTCCATAATTTATATGCTGCAGGCTCAACCTCCGTAATTTATGTGCTGCAGGCTCAACCTCCAGTACCTCAGCCTATTTGGAGATAATCTTTAAAGAAGTGATCAGGTTAAAATGAGGCCATTGGGGTAGGGCCGTAATCTAACATGACTGGTGTCCTTATTAAGATCAAGAGACTCTAGGGCTGCATATTCACACAGAAAAGTCCATGTGAGGACACAGTAAGAAGGCAGTCATCTACAGGCCAAGAAGAAAGACCTCAGAAGAAAGTAAACCTGCCAACACCTGAATCTTAAGACTTCCAGCCCCTAGAATCATGAGAAACAAATTTCTATTGTTTTAAGTCTCACTGTCAGCGGTATTTTGTTATGACAGGCCTAGCAAACTAATGTACTATCAAATGCCATATTAATGATATTCATAAAACCCACCTACAGTTGTGTTTATATCTTTTAAATAACAGTTGCTTATGGCTCACCAAAAATAATGTATCATATGTCTAGGCACGGTGACTCACGCCTGTAATCCCAGGACTTTGAGAGGCCGAAGCAGGTGGATCACTTGAGGTGAGGAGTTCAAGACCAGCCTGGCCAACGTGGTGAAACCCCATCTCTACTAAAAATTCAAAATTAGCTGGGCATGGTGGCGCATGCCTGTAGCCCCAGCTACTCAGGAGGCTGAGGTATGAGAATTGCTTAAACCCCCAGGAGGTGGAGGTTGCAGTGATCCAAGATCACATCACTGCACTCCGGCCTGGGCGACAGGGTGAGACTTCATCTCAAAAAAAAAAAAAAGTATCATATATCATATGATATATACCAAAATGTATAGCCTTAGATTACTAAGAATGATGATATGTTTGAGCTACTGCATCAACCAATGACATAATGTTAAGTGGTAATGGCAGAAAACAAGCAGCTGCGTATTTTGTCATTCATATTATTATGTATCAGGCATTGCCCAAGATGTTAAGGTTTTTTGAATAATTTACTTAAAATGATCTAATGTTACTTAAATACTGTTTGCTTATAATTTTTAAGGTATGATAAAAATCACTCTGTATATGTACATATATACACATAATACAAAAAATTTTAATTTATATTAATTGAATGCTTACTGTGTATATCCTTCCTTGATAACATTTCTTCCAAAAGCAACTTGCTCCCTCCAACAGAAGTTTATTATCACCATACTTGTGTTTCTACAATTACTATGTGTGTACGTACATCCATAAACAATGTTTTGAATATTTTCAAACTTTACATAAACACTATCAGGTTATTTCACCATGCAGCCTACATTTTTCAGTTAATATTATTTCTTTATATATATTTTTTGAGACAGGGCCTTGCTGTGTCACCTAGGCTGAAGTGTAGTGACACAATCTCAGCTCACTGCAGCCTCTGCCTTCTGGGTCCAAGTGATTTTCATGCCTTGGCCTCCCGAGTAGCTAGGACTACAGCCATGCGCCACCACCCCCAGCTAAGTTTTGTATTTTCAGTAGATACAGGGTTTCACCATGTTGCCCAGGCTGCTCTTGAACTCACTCAAGTGATCCACTCACCGTGGCCTCCAAAAGTGCTAGGATTACAGGCGTGAGCCACCACACCCGGCATATTTCTTTACTTTTTTAAACAGACAAGTCTTGCTATGCTGCCCAGGCTGGAGTGCAGTGGTTATTAACAGGTACAATCACAGCACACTGTGGCCTTGAATTCCTGGACTGAGGCAATTCTCCTGCCTCAGCTACCTGAGTAGCTGGGACTACAGGCATTCACCCAAACTCAATACTGTTTGTTAAAAACTAAGGCAATAGCCTAGGCCAACACATGGCCAGGATCATCAATATCACCATCTCCCACCTTCACATCTTGTCCCATTGAAAGGTCTTCAGGGGTACAAGCCTGTATGGATCTACAATGATAACAATGCCTTCTTCTAAAATATAGTCAACTTTTTTTAAATAACTACAAGTAAACTCTACAATATACTCTAGAATAATGAATAAAAGTATGGTATAGTAAATACATAAACCAGCGGCATAGCTGTTTATTATACTTATCAAATATTATATACTATACATATGTGTTATACTCTTGTACAACAAGCAGCCCAGAATGTTTTTTTACACCAGCATCACCATCAACACATGATTAATGCTTTGTGCTACTACATTACAATGGCTATGATGTCACTAGGCAAAAGAAATATTTCAGCTCCATTATAATCTTATGGGACCACTGTCACATATGTAGTCTGTTACTGACCAAAAGGTCAGACATTTGGCACATGTCTGTACATGGGAGATGTGTACAGGTTATATTTGCCATTTCATATAAGGGACTTGAATATCTGTGCATTTTGGTATCCATGAAGATCCTGGAGCCAATGCCCCACAGATACTGAGGAAAATTACTAAATTAAGAAAGGGGTGTTCAAATATTTTACTGTAATTTTCTATTTGTCTATTTCTTTTAGTACCTGTATCAGCTTTTTATTAATGTATTTTGAAGCTATACTATTAGAAATAGTATAAATCCTCTTGATTCAACATCCCTGTTAGCACTGTGAAATTACCCTTTTAAATCACGGTAATACTGTTTGCTATGAAATCTACTCTGGTATCAAAAAGCCATTTCAGGCTGGGTATGGTGGCTCATGCCTCTAATTCCAACACTTTGGGAAACCAAGGTGGCAGAGTTGCTTGAGCCCAGGAGTCTGAGACCAGCCTGGGCATCATGGTGAGACCCTGTCTCTACAAAAAACTTAAAAATTAGCCAGGCCTAGCTAACATGGCCAGACCTTGTCACTACAAAAGACTTAAAAATTACCCAGGTATAATGGTGCATGTCTGTGGTCCCAGCTACTCAGGAAGCTGAGGAAGGAGAAATCACTTGAGCTCAGGAGTTCAAGGCTGCAGTGAGCCTTGTTCATGTCACTGCACTTTAGCCTGGGTGGCAAAGTGAGACCCTGTCTCAAAAGAAAAAAAAGAAGAAAAAGCCATTTCAGCTTTCTTTTAACTAGTGTTACCATGCAATATCTTATTTTCTCCATCTTTAGTATATTTGTGTTAAAATATTTGAAATGCATGTCATGTAGGCAGCATATAATGGAGTCTAGTTTTGTTTTTAAGTCAGACTGACAGTCTTTGATTCTAATTGAGATGTTAGAATCTTTACATTTAGGCCAGGCCTGGTGGCTCATACCTGCAATTCCAATACTTTGGGAGGCCAAGGTAGGTGGATCACTTAAGCCCAGGGCAACATGATGAAAACCCATCTCTATCAACAACAACAAAAACCAGACATGGTGGCAAACATCTGTAATCCCAGCTACTAGGGAGGTTGAGATAGGAGAATCACTTGAACCCAGGAGGCAGAGGTTACAGTGAGCCATAATTGCGACACGTCACTCCAGTCTGGGTGACAGAGCAAGACCCTGTCTCAAAAAAAAGAACCTTTATATTTAATGTGCTTACTGATATGATGTGGTTTGGGTCTCCATCTTACTATTTATTTTCTATTTGTCTCATCTGTTTTCTTTTCCTATTTTGTTCCTTTTCTAATCTATTAAGACATCAAAAATAAAGTTTAAGAAATCAGTGTATACAAATATACTTTTACAATATTTAAATATCTACATAATTCTTTTTTTTTTTTGAGATTGAGTCTTGCTCTGTAGCCCAAGCTGGAGTGCAGTGGCACAATCTCAGCTCACTGCAACCTCTGCCTCTTGGGACCCGGTTCAAGCAAGTCTCCTACCTCACCTCCCAAGTAGCTGGGATTACAGGCACGAGCCACCATGCCCTGCTAATTTTTGTATTTTATAGTAGAGATGGGGTTTCACCACGTTGGCCAGTCTGGTCTTGAACTCCGGACCTTGTGATCCACCAGCCTCAGCCTCTCGAAGTGTTGGGATTACAGGTGTGAGCCACCGTGCCCAGCCTAAATATCTACATAATTCTTAAAAGAGGAAATCACAAATGAAAGTATAAATTATTAAAATACCAGCAATAGCCATGCCGTATTCAGAGAGAACCTTTTAGTCTAAAATGCAATTATTTTAAAAAGAAAATCCATGTGAAAAAGTAAAAAATAAAAATAAAGACTGGGCGTGGTGGCTCACACACATAATCCCAACATTTTGGGAGGGCAAGATAGGCAGATCATTTGAGACAATCCTGGCCAACATGGTGAAACCCCTGTCTCTACTAAAAATACAAAAATTAGCCAGGCATGCGTGAGGTGCCTGTAATCCTAGCTACTTGGGAGGTTGAGGCAGGAGAATTACTTGTATCCAGGAGGCAAAGGTTGCCAAGAGCCAAGATTGTACCACTGCACTCCACCCTGGGCAAGAGACTCCCTCTCAAAAATAAAATAAAATAAAATAAATAAAAATAAAAAAGATTAGGAATAAATAAATTAAATCTTCAACTACAGAAGCCAGAAAATGGATCACAGTGCATAAAATGGGGAGAAATCATGAAGATAGTGATAAAATTAACAAAAGGAAGTATCATGAAATAATTGAAAAGAACAACATAACCAATATTAGATTTTAGAAAATATGAGTTGAGGCCAGGTGCAGTGGCTGATGCTTGTAATCTCAGCACCTGGGGAGGCGGCGGTGGGCAGATCAGCTGAGGTCAGGAGTTCCAGACCAGCCTGGCCAACATGGTGAAACCCGGTCTCTACTAAAAATACAAAAATTAGCCAGGTGTGGTGGCACATGCCTGTCATGCCAGTTACTCGGGAGGCTGAGGCAGGAGAATCGCTTGAACCTGGAAGACGCAGGTTGCAGTGGGCCAACATCGTGCCACTGTACTCTAGCCTAAATGACAGATTGGGACTCCATCTCAAAAAAAAAAAAAAAAAAAAAAGAAAGAAAGAAAATATGAGTTGAATAGGAGATACTCTAGCAAGGTTGATCAAGAAAAATGAAGAAAATATCCAAAATTATATTGGGAAGAAAAACAGGGAAAACTATAAAAATAGTAGAAATTTTTTAAATGAAAATGATTTTTTAAATAATGTATTTTGGAAAGGGCAGTAGAGGCTGGGGTGGCAATAAGGATGTTTATTGGATACAAAAAAATAGAAATGAATAAGATGTAGTATTTGAAAGGGTGACTATAATCAATAATAATTTAATTTTATATTTAAAAATAACTAAAAGGGTGTAACTGGATTATTTTAACACAAAGGATAAATGTTTGAGGTGATGAATATCCCATTTACTCTAAAGTAATTATTTTTGAGACAGAGTTTTGCTTTGTTGCCCAGGCTGGAATGCAATGGTGGGATCTCAGCTCACTGCAACCTCTACCTCTCAGGTTTAAGAGATACTCCTGCCTCAACCTCCAGAGTAGCTAGGATTATAGGCATGTACCATTAAGCCCAGCTAACTGTTATATTTTAAAAATGAATAGTAGAGACAGGGTTTCACCATTTTAGCCAGGCTGGTCTCAATCTCTTGACCTCATGATCCATCCATCTGGCTTAGCTTTAGTAATTATTATGCATTGCATGCCTGTATCAAAATATCTCATGTATTCCATAAATATATACTGTGTACCCATAAAAAGTAAAAATTATAAAAATAAAATAATGTATTTTTACCATGCCTTTTCTGTTTAGGTATGTTTAGATTTAGATACACAAATATTTACCAAATTATTACAGCTGCCTACAGTATTCAGTACAGTAGCATGCCATGCAGGTTTGCAGCCTAGAAGCAGTAGGGCTATCTATTTAGCTAGGTGTATTTTAAAAATACATTATAGGCAGGGCACAGTGGCTCATGCCTATAATCCTAGCACTTTGGGAGACCAAGGCAGGTGGATCACGGTAAAATCAGGAGAGAGACCATCCTGCCCGACATGGTAAAACCCTGTCTCTACTAAAAATACTATAATTGGCCAGGTGTGGTGGGTGCCTTTAGTTCCAGCTACTCAGGAGGCTGAGACAGGAAAATCGCTTGAACCCGGAAGACGGTTTTAGGGAACCGAGATTGTGCCACTGCACTCCAGCCTGGGCAACAAGAGTAAAACTCCATCTCAAAAAAAATAAAAAAGAAAAAGAAAACATTATAAAAGATAATAAATGGTATTCCTGTATGGGGAGCACTTACCACAAATGGTAAAATAAAATAAACTACATATATTTAAAGTATATCAATATATAAAATTCAGCTGTACAGCCATGAGTAATCAGAAATCTTACTACAGGCTGGGCACGGTAGATCACCTGAGGGCAGTGGCTTGAGACCAGCCTGGCCAACATGGTATAATGCCATTTCTACTAAGAATACAAACATTAGCCGGCTGTGGTGGCGCACACTTGTAATTCCAGCTACTTGAGAGGCTGAGGCATGAGAATCGTTTGAGCCCAGGAGGCGGAGGTTGCAGTGAGCCAAGATCATGCCAGTGCACTCCAGCCTAGGTGACAGACTATGACTCTTTTTCAAAAAAACCCAAAAAACAAAAAACCTTACTACAGCATAAAAATATCTGAAATACTGAACAAATCTGATAAAATATGTGAAAGACTTGAAGAGACACCTTAACAAACAAGATATATGAACGGCAAATAAGTTCCAGAAAAGATGTGTGGTTGCTCATGCCTGTAATCTCAGCACTTTGGGAGGCCAAGGTGGCAGATCACTTGAGCCCAGGAATTTGAGACCACCCTAGGCAACCTGAGAAAACCCCATTTCTACCAAAAACAAAAACAAAATCAAATTAGTCAGGTGTGGCGGCACATGGCTATAATCCCAGTTACTTAGGAGGCTGAGGCAGGAGGACTGCTTGAGCCCAGGAGGTTGAGGCTGCAGTGCGTTGTGACTGTACCACTGCACTCCAGCCTGGGAAACAGAGCAAGAACCTGTCTCAGGAAAAAAAAAAGAAAAGAAAAGCTCAATATTATTAATCATTTTGCAAATACAAATTAAACCCAGAATTAGATACCCTTATTTGAATTGCTAAAATGAAAAACACAACACTATGTGTTGAAAAGGATGTAGAGGAACTGATACTCAACACACACTACTGGTAGGAAAATTAAATAGTGTAATTATATCAGAAAACTGTTGGCAGTTACTTAAAAAATTAATGATACATCTACCATCTGACTCAGCCATTCCTTCTTATGTGAACTCAAGAGAAAAAGAAACGCATGTTCATGTAAAGCTTTGTACATGAACGTCTATAGCAACTTTATCTGTACCAAAAACTGGATTTTTTGGTTTATGGTCAATTCAAATGGCCATAAGCAGCTGAATGGATAAACAAATCACAGGAGATATATATATATATATAAAATGGACTACTACTATTCAGCAATAAAAGCGAAAGAATTATTGATACACACAGCAATGTAAATCTCAAATAATTATATTGCATGAAGAAATGAGTATACAAATATATAATTTGATTTCTATAAAACTCTAGAAAATGCAAATATATCTATAATGACAGAAAGCAGATTGGCAGTTGCCTAGAGAGGGAACGGTGTGAGAAGACAGCACAAAGAGGCACAAGGAAATTTTTGTGTATAATGCATGTGTTTATACCTTCACTGTGGTGAGGGTTTCTCTGGCATCAAAACTTACCAAATTGTATACTTTAAATATAGGCAATTTATTTTATGTCAAGTATACATCAATAAAGCTGTTTCAAAAAAAACCACAACACATAAATACTCAGATTCCCCACTCCTATCCCACCAAAGGTGGTCTAAAATTGTCCCATCACTCCAGAAGAGGGCTGCTAGTTTATTCTGTGGAGGAGATAAAGTCTTTTGACTATTGAAACAACATATACAATTAAAAATGGGTATAATGGGCCAGGCATGGTGGCTCACGCCTATAATCCTAGCACTTCTGAGAGGCCAAGGCAGGAGGATTGCTTGAGCTCAGAAGTTCGAAACCATCCTGGGTAACGTAGTGAGACCTCATTTCTATAAGGTGGTCATGCACACATGTAATCCCAGCACTTTGGGAGGCCAAGATGGGCAGATCACAAGGTCAAGAGATTGAGAGCATCAGGGCTAACAAGGTGAAACCATGTCTCTATTAAAAATACAAAAATTAGCTGGATGTGGTGGTGTGTGCCTATAGGCCCAGCTACTCAAGAGGCTGAGGATGAGGCAGGAGAATCACTTAAACCCGGGAGGCAGAGGTTAGTTAGCCAAGATCATGCCACTGCGCTGCAGCCTGGTAACGGAGAGAGACTCTGTCTCAAAAAAATACACATACAAACACACACACACACACATATATGTGTAAAAAGGAAAAGGAAAAATGAAATGAGGATAATGAAAAAAAATAACAGTATTTAGTAAATATTTATGTACTGAATCCTACCAGCCAAACTGTCAATCAAGTACAAAGATAAAATAAAAATATTTTCAGATATGCAGTTCAAGAAAAATGTTCTGATTACCCTTCCTGGAAAGCTACTGAGGGAAGAGGAATATTAAAACAAAACAAGTAAACCAAGAGAGTGGAAGCCATAGAAATCAGGAAACATGGAATTGAACACAAGAAAGATGTGAAGGGAATCCCCAGAATGCTTAGGAGATAGCTGTGCATAAGCCATTGAGAGATATTACAAAAATCAAATTCCAGACAAGTGAATATATCAAATATTTGTACAACACCATATATTTTATTTACTCATTTACTATATGTTTCATATTCACCTACCTTAATCTAAAATATAAACTCTATGAAGACAGAATTTCACGATTTTGTTCACTGCTGTATCCCCAATATCTAGAACAATGCCTGCTATTTAGGACTTAATATTTCCTCAACAAATAAAAATGATAAATTTTAGCATAATAATCGCTATGTGTAAAGTAACTGGTAATAATATCTCAAAGCCACCACTTAAGTCACAGTGTGGGGAGATTTTAACTTTTTATACATTCAGATTTCTATGGAAAGAACTCTATTCTTACAAAGCAGAATGTAGTTCTACTAATGTAGTTTCCAAAAATGAAGAAAAAACTTGAGAAGAATCAGCAGATTCCTATTTCATAAAAATCTCCATTATAGCACAAAGATTGACAGATCTTTTAATCTCATACAGATAATCTGTCAAAAAAAAAAAACTTTTACAGTATACAGAGAAAAAAGGATAAAGACTATTTCATTACATTTAATATTTTATCACCTGGTGCTCCACCTCCTGAAGTAAGGATTCCAAAAGTTCTGTTTCTTGAGTTAGAGATGTCTTCTGACCTGTTTAAAAATAGTGAATCATCGACACTTGGACTCACTATTGGTTTAAGAATAAAATTAACTTCCAACGAACATATTCAATAACAAGAAATCTACTTCAAGTAAGCAAAAATTCTTCATTACAGCTACCCTAAAAATTCACATACAACTTTAAGAGGTTGAATTTAATATTATAGTAGCCTTGTAAAGAGAACTTCAGAAACAATTCTAATTAGTTTTAGACGAGATATCATTTAGACTCATATAAGAAAGGAAATGTGCAATGACAATATACTTTAAGCAAAAAATTTACTTTTCTAGATTTTCATATTCCCTTGGGAAAAAGCAATAACAAGAATTTCATTCAGTCAGCTATTCTGAAATAATTTTTTACCAAATTTAACCGTAGCTTCAAAGAGAATACAAAGTGGGCCAGATTTTTATGTTAAATATCAGCAAAATGTCTGTCTTGTAAATATACAAGGATCTGTTAAAAAAAAAATGCCCAGAGAGGTGAACAGTCTCAAAAAGTTGGAGACAGAAAATGATAAACAAATTATTATTACTGGCTGGGGGCAGTGGCTCATGCTTGTAATCCCTGCACTTTGGGAGGCCAAAGCAAGAAGATAACTTGAGCCTAGGTATTTAAGACCAGCCTGGGCAACATGGCAATACTGTCTTTATAAAAAAATTAAAAAATTAGCCAGGAGTGGTGGTGCATGCCTGCAGTCCCAGTTACTCAAGAGGCTGAGGCATGAGGATCACTTGAGCCCAGGAAGTCAAGACTGCATACAGTCATGCAGTGACCCTTGACCACACTACTGCACTACAGCCTGGGCAATAGAGACCCTGACTCAAAAAAAAAACCAAAAAAACAGAAAGTGCTTTATATATATATATATATATATATATGTACATACACACACATCATCTATTAATATAAATATATGTTATATATAAAGATATATTATATATAAGTATAATTATATCTATTATATGCAAAATATATAAATATATATATATTTTTTGAGATGGAGTCTCTCTGTCGCCAGACTAGAGTACAGTGGAACAATCTTGGCTTACTGCAAACTCTGCCTCCCAGGTTCAAGCAATTTTCCTGCCTCAGCCTCCCAAGCAGCTGGGACTACAGGCGCCCACTACCACGCCCCACTACTCTTTGTATTTTTAGAAGAAACAGGGTTTTACCACGTTGGCCAGGATGGCCTCGATCTCTTGACCTCATGATCCACCCATCTCGGCCTCCCAAAGTGCTAGGATTACAGGTGTGTGCGCCACTACGCCTGGCCACTTTATATGTTTTTAAACAAAAAGAAAATAGGTATGCTTACCAAATCAGGCCATTTTCTTTGTAAACCAAAAAAATTTGAAAAACTGAAGTACATCCATGAGAAGAACAAAAGTTTTATCAATCTGTAGTGTTATTTGACATGGAAAAAGGGAGAACTTTTATTTTTAACTTATTTTTTTGACAGGGTCTCGTCTGTCACCCAGGCTGTAGTATAGTGGCGTGATTGCAGCTCACTGCAATCTCTACCTCTGAGGCTCAAACAATCCTCCCACCTCAGCCTCCTGAGTAGCTGGGACTACAGGTGCATGCTACCACACCTGGCTAATTTTTCTTTTATTTTCTTAGCAGACATGGGGTTTCACCACATTGCCCAAGCTGGTCTTAAACTCCTGGGCTCAAGAGATCCACCTGCCTCAGCCTAGAACTTTTATTTTTGCAACAAAACTCAGAATTTCTAGATTGCAAAAAGAGTTAAAATAAATTATTAGCTACAATCTAATACTATCAGATATAATTTCTACCATCACCACATCCCACAATCCTAAAACCCTAGCCTATGAACACTACTACAATACATAATTCAACTTAAAAACTAGTGGCAGAGGCTGGGTGCGTTGGCTCATGCATGCAATCCCAGCACTTTGGGAGTCAAGGGGCCAGGGGAGAGGAGCGGGTAGATCACCTGAGGTCAGGAGTTTGAGACCAGCCTTGCCAACATGGCAAAATCCTGTCTCTACTAAAAATACAAAAATTAGCCAGGCATGGTGGCATGTGCCTGTAGTCCCAGCTACTCGAGGCTGAGGCATGAGAATTGTTTGAACCCAGGAGGCAGAGGTTGCAGTGAGCCAAGATCACGCCACTGTACTCCAGCCTGGGTGACAGAGCAAGTTCTGTCTCAAAAATAATAACGATAAAAATTAGTGGCAGAAATTATGGTATGAATTAAAAATATGAGGTTTATGAGACTATTCTAAAATATACTAACCCTGAAAATATTTTTCCCCACCTCTTATCCTTAGAAGAAATCCTATTTAGTCATAAAAGCTATCTTGGAAATTATAAACTTTAATTTTTCATAATGAAAAATAAGTTGAAAGCCACAAAAGAAGGTCAAGTTCAGTTACTGGAAAGGCAAGCTATTTCATGGAGTTATACAGCTAGTAAAATTAATAAACTTAAGAGATCTGTACTGTGGTATTATTTTGCTTTAAGTTGATTTAATTAAATAAATGAAGCAATGAACAAATTCACTCAAGATAAGACTACATGCAAATGTGTATTTGGCTACTACTGAAGATTGTATCAACAGTAAAGATCCTCTCAGTTTTCAAGTCCTACTACATATCAACATACCAGTACTCTACATGGCTTAATGAACTTAAAGGAAACTCAAATATCATCTAAAGTCCTGAAAAATTAAGATGACCTACATGTATCACTGACTGCAACTGAAGACCTAAGAACAATTATGATTTTCATTTACATAAAATCTTTATGTGGCATTGTGACTGGTATAATCAATACCTGCAGGTTTTGTCTAATTGCTCCACTGTGTGGATGAACTGTGCTTTTCAATCTAACTACTAGAATGATTTTTTTCTTTTCTTTTTTTTTTTGAGACGAAGTTTCGCTCTTGTTACCCAGGCTGGAGTGCAATGGTGCGATCTCGGCTCACTGCAACCTCTGTCTCCTGGGTTCAGGCAATTCTCCTGCCTCAGCCTCCTGAGTAGCTGGGATTACAGGCACACACCACCATGCCCAGCTAACTTTTTGTATTTTTAGTAGAGACGGGGTTTCACCATGTCAACCAGGATGGTCTCAATCTCCTGACCTTGTGTGATCCACCTGCCTCGGCCTCCCAAAGTGCTGGGATTACAGGCTTGAGCCACCGCGCCCAGATAGAAGAATGAATGATTTTTTAAGACTATTTGCTGCTGGGTCTGTGGGGAAAAATTCTAAAAAATCAGGTATTAAATAGTACAAAATTATAAAAGCAATTCATGAATGATATACAAATATCCAAATTCAAAGATATTTGCATCTTATTTTTAAAAAGTTAAAAGTAAAATGATGAAATCATTATTTTGGATGACATAAAGACATGGCTAAAATCTTGGAGAATCAAGACAGCTGATAAAAAAATTCTTCATTCACACCTTAATTAAAGTATATATTTTACTTTGGGCTATGATAAAAAATACAAAGCTGGTTTTTAGTCAGCAAAACACTGGAAGGACTAAGATCACCAAAACAAATAAAACGAACGTTAGTATTGGATCTAACTCTTAAATTTTAAGTTTAATACCAGACTCCACAATCAAAGAAGAATGAAGGAATCTTTGAAAAGCAAAGTTCAGCAATAAATATAATTAAACATACATAAAATGAAATCTACTAGAAATCAAAAGCAGAGACTTTAAATCTCTAAGAAAAAGCTGGCGGGGATGACACTGACATTTACAAATGTCAGTTCTTCATCCTCAATGAAAATGGACGGAAAGGATATGGGATATTAGAAGAAGGACTTCCATTAGATTTGGGAAAAAAGCTTTCTAACAATAATGTCCACTGGCCATTAGGATTTTCATCCAAAGGGCTATAAAAACTTTTCTCTCCTAAAGATTAGCATGGCCCCTGCGCAAGGATGACATGCAAATTCAAAAAAAAAAAAAAAAAGAAAGAAAGAAAAGAAAAAGAAAAACAACTTTTCTCTCCTATCATTTCTAAACTCAAGTCAAACAATTATCTGCCTACCTTGTAACAATATGGAGTTGACTAAAATCTCAAGATTCCTTCCTAGGATCACCACCCTTACTCTTCAAAGACTGAATCTCAAAGAAGCTGAAAGCCCCAGGTACCCCAACAGCATACAAAAACACTTACCCATCAGTGTTATAAGCTTATTCTTCAGCTGTGTGTCTAACCGTGCAATCATCATCTCCACTGCATTCCTAATTTCCCGAACACGCTCATCTTTTGCATTTCTTACAGCTTCTACGTTCCTTTCCTAGAAGATAAACAGGACAGAATAATTTTAACTGGGTAAATTTTAAAAACAGAAGCACCACATTATAATATTGCCAAGAATAGATAATAGGAAAAAGGTAGGCCAAATGGAAATGACCCAACTTGCTTGTATTTCAAAATGGCATACATGCAATCAAAATCACAAATTTTCTGTATAAAGAATGTTACAAATGATCACTTCGTTCTTGATTCCTAAAGGGGTAAAAACAAAGAAGGCATCTGTTTTTAAGTTAGGATATGGTCCACAAACTTCATTTTAAGTTAGGAAATGGTCCATAACCTCATTTATGACCGTCGTTCTGCCAACCTGAAACAAAATATATTCTAAACATACACTTAGTATTTCATTCTTTGGGGTTTATCACATTTTTTCACAGAAATAACATTATAAATAGCCCACTAAAGCTGTTTGACTTATATCTAAAGACTAATGTTAAATATTACACTTCCAACTCTGTAGAGTTCTAAATCAGCACATGACAAATAGTTCACTCCTTAGTAAAAGAAACTCACCCAAAAGCTGGGGATCCAAAGAATGCATAATTTAATGAATGACTGTAAAAGTCAGTATTGATTCTGTTTACAAGTCAATTATTGGGGCCGGGCACAGTGGCTCATGCCTGTAAGCTCAGCACTTTGGGAGCCTGAGGTGGACAGATCACCAGAGGTCAGGAGGTTGAGACAAGCCTGGCCAACATGGTGAAACCGTCTCTATTAAAAGTACAAAAAATTAGCTGGGCATGGTGACGGGTGCCTATAATCCCAGCTACTCGGGAGGCTGGGGCAGAAGAATCGCTTGAACATGGAAGGCAAAGGTTGCAGCAAGTTGAGATTGAACCATTGTACTCCAGCCTGGGCAACAAGAGTAAAATTCTGTCTCAAAATTATAAAAAAAAAAAAAAAAAAAGAATTATTGACTCTGTAACAAATAGACTTTTAAAACTCACTAACTGATTTTCCAATTCTGCCTAAGTGGTAATTCTCTGACTGCAACTGCTTCCTTACAGACCTGGGGCTTTGTATGCAAATTCCTCAGCTAGCCTGAAATTTATGGAATTTGACGATAGATGCAGCCTATCAAATTTGCAAATCTTGAAAATCTTGATTTCAACATATGATTAATTTGTATTATAAAAATATATTATTACATATTACAGATTAAAAGCAAAATAACTGTATTTTAGTAGTAGTCTTACCACTTCCTGAACTAAGCTGATCAGTTCCATGAGACGCCGACGAAGTTTGGCTACCTCTTCATTCACTTTAGTGACGTGCTGTTCATAAATTTCTGCCAAAGGTTTAAAGGTATGTCCGCCATGCTATTTAAATTAGAGTAGTTTTAGAACAGTTTCACCTCTCTCATCAGCATTTACATTCCTTTGTAACACTCTATGGACACTAATAAACCAGTAAATATTTCAAATGAATTTCATCTTTTTAGCTAACTTAATTTTGAAGCAGTCCAGTGCCTGCTTAAAATCATTTGGTCCACGTAGGACTCTTTCAAGAAAGACTGTAAATAAAGGGCTTTAGCAAAATATTCATTTAACTAGAAATTAACGTATTAAAAAGAACCAAAATATTTAACCACAGCCCAAATCATCTGCTACAACCTTATCAGCGACTCATTCTTCTCTCAGGCTACATTAGTCTTTTTACATGTCCTCAAACTTTTTTCCACCAGGCCTTGACAAAAATTACTCCCTCTTATTAAAAAATAATTCTCATGGGCAGGGCGCGGTGGTTCACACCTGTAATCCCAGCACTTTGGGAGGCCGAGGCGGGTGGATCATGAGGTCAAGAGATCAAGACCATCCTGGTCAAAATGGTGAAACCCTGTCTCTGCTAAAGATACAAAAAATTAGCTGGGCATGGTGGCGCGTGCCTGTAATCCCAGCTACTCAGGAGGCTGAGGCAGGAGAATTGCCTGAACCCAGGAGGCGGAGGTTGCGGTGAGCTGAGATCGCGCCATTGCACTCCAGCCTGGGTAACAAGAGTGAAACTCCGTCTCAAAAAAAAAAAAAAAAAATCTCAGCCAGCTGCGGTGTCTCATGCCTGTAAACTCAGTACTTTAGGAGGCTGAGAAGGAAAGATCACTTGAACCCAGGAATTCAAGACTGGCCTGGCCAATATGGCACAAACCCATCTCTACTAAAATACAAAATTAGTCAGGTGTGGTGGCGCACACCTGTGATCCCAGCTACTCAGAAGGCTGAGACACGAGAATTGCTTGAACCCGGGAGGCAGAGCTTTCAGTGACCTATGATCACGCCACTGTACTCCAGCCTGGGTGATAGAAAGAGACTCTGTTCCAAAAAAAGAATAATATTTTTTAAAAAAGAACAACAACAACAAAATAATAAAAATAATGCCAGTGGCGGTGGCTCACACCTGTAATCCTAGCATTTTAGAAGGCTAAGGCGGGTGGATCACCTGAGGTCAGAAGTTTGAGACCAGCCTGGCCAACATGGCAAAACCCCATCTCCACTGAAAAATACAAAAATTAGCTGGGCATGGTAGTGCATGCCTGTAATCTCAGCTACTCAGGAGGCTGAGGCTGGAGAATTGCTTGAACCCAGGAGGTGGAGGTTGCAGTGAGCTGAGATCTCGCCACTGCACTCCAGCCTGGGCTACTAATCCCCGCTACTCAAAGTCTGAAGCAGGAGAATCGCTTGAACCTGGTAGGCAGAGGTTGCAGTGAGCCGAGATCATACCACTGCACTCCAGCCTGAGCAACAGAGCGAGACTGTTTAAAAAAATAAAACAAAACAATAATAATAATTCTCCATCTTCCCTCTCCCATCTTGGTTTGTCTTAATCCTACTCATCCTTTGAAGCTTAGCTCAGATTTATAGGATCAGCTGCCATAGTTCTGCATCCTCATCAACGCTTTGTATTTATTCCTATAACTTATTATACAAATTAAATATGTAATTAATTGTTTGATATGTTCATCACCAAATCCCTAGTCTCTACCACAGAATGAATTAGAAAAACACTTGATTTAACAGCACCTTGAAAACGCACTGAAAAAAAAAAAGATACTTGAACAAAAAGCCCATAATACAAAATTAGAAAATTAGCAAAAGCAATGAACCCATTTCCCATCCCACACTTACTACAGAGATAGAAGGCTGATACAAGTTAGCCTCACAAATCTAGTTGCATTTGGCTAATTTTTATAGCTAAAAACCTAAAAATAATTTTCTTGATTTTTCTGATTGGTAACCAGAATTATTAAATTTTTATTATAAGAAGCCTCCCATATTTGCGGTAGCTTTAAAGGATTAAAGGAAAAAAAAAAAAAAAAAAAAAAAGAAGCCTCCTATAAACATGTAAGTTCTTACTAAAATTGTCTTATTTAGCCAAAGCATCCCACTATTATCTCCAAAAGAAAAAAGATGTAGATTTGTACTACAAATCTTTAAGTATACGTCACTTTAAGTATACAAAAAAATGTTTCTACTGTTTCTTATAAAACCTATATATTTAATGTATTAAATGTGATAACTTCTTATTTTTTTCTAGTCAGCACATTAATATTTAAATTCTAACAGAAAGCTCTCCGAATTGAGCTCTACTCAATCTGGCCTGCCACTCTCTGTAAAACATACTGACTGATATCCTCAAAATGATCATTTCTGATGGCAACTCTAGATGCCTACCCACTTGCATTTCCCCCATCACTTATTTTTCCTCGCTAAGAATCTATCGTGTTTATTCTCAACCTATTTATGTCAATTGTACTTATTACTGTAAGGAAATCATTCGATTAAGTATTTAGTAAACAACCGAACATGACTTTAAAATAAAAAAGCTGCTTCTAACAAAACTGATTTTAATGCTTCAGACTTGATGGAAGATTGTCTTTAAAAACTGCTCTTGAATTAGATGGGAAAAAAGAATCTAAAAAATGATTATAAGATCCAGATATGTTTACTCTTGTTGTTTCACAAGTGTCTAAGTTCTTACTCCACTGGAAATCCTACCCCTATATCTATCTGATCAACTGACCTTTAATTTAAAAAATGACCTGGATCCTACAACAAAAAGATTTGCAAATGAAGAGAGGATATGTTTTATCAGTGTTAGAGGTTAAAATATTTATGTAAGAGGTTCATGTCCTACATCAACCACACAAATAAGATTCTTCTGGAATAAAATGCAATACCTTTAATAAAGCATCTCTAAAGTAGATGCATTTTAATTTTCATCCTACGAGAGCATAACAACACTATTTCCTATCTGAATAAAACAAGTATTTCAGTGCCTTCCAGTCTCTTAACTAAAAAAATACATACTGAATTTGTTCTGCTCACCATTCCTCCCCAAAGTGCACACTGATGGCAGATACACTTCTTACAAGTCCAGCAAAACACACTAAGTTTTTCATGGTGATTTTCACATCTATACAATAGGAAAAGGAAATAAAGTTATAAATTAAATAAAATTAGAACATAGTTACCTCCATAAATTCTTAAGGTTGGGCAAAGAGATCAATTTTAAATGATTATGTCTCAAGAAACACAGTATAAAATCTACTCCATGGCTTCTGTAAAGTAAGCTAAAGAAGTTTATGTGGACAATTCTTTTAAAAGTACTGTTTTCATTAATCTGGACTTTATAATCACATGTAAAATACATATTTGCTTCTCAAAAACAGCACATATATTGCATCACTTCCAAGCAACGCTACAGATGATATATTCTATTGTACTATTACATTTTGGGCAAGTACTTAATAATCACATTGATTATGCATCTATACCTACATATAAGCATGCACAAATACTTTTCCCATATGTGGTCAATGATAATAATCAAGGTAAGGCACAGTGGCTCACGTCTGTAATCCCAACACTTTGGAGGGTCAAGGTGAGTGGATCATGAGGTCAGGAGTTCCAGACCAGCCTGACCAACATGGTGAAACCTTGTCTCTACTAAAAATACAAAAATTAGCTGGGTGTCATGGCATGTGCCTATAATCCCAGCTACTCAGAAGGCTAAGGCAGGAGATCTGCTTGAATTTGGGAGGTGGAGGTTGCAGTGAGCAGAGACTGTGCCACTGCACTCCAGCCTGGGCAATAGAGCCATCTCAAAAAACCAAAAAACAAACAACAAACAAAACCAATAAGCAAGACACATGATTAATTGCACAATTTAAGATTAGACCCTCATGGAAAATGAATAACTCAATTTTACACTTTCTCTTAAACTGGATATTCACATGAAAAACAATTAAATTAAACTCTGTTATGGATTGACTATGCCCCCCCTCAAATTCATAGGTTAAAGCCTTAATCCTCAGTGTGAATGTATCTGGAGACAGAGCCTTTAAGGAAGTAATTAAGGTTAAGTAAGGACCATAAGGGCAGGACCCACATCCAACAGGACTGGTGTCCTTTACAAGAGGAAGAGACACCAGGTGTGCATGTACACATGGCAAAGATCATGTGAGGACAGAGCTAGGTGGTGGCCATCTACAAGTCAAGGACAAAGAGAGGCCTCACCAGAAACGAACATTGCCAGCATCTTAATCTTGGACTTACACCTGTAAGAGAATTGTGAGAAAATAAATTTTTTTTTTTTTTTTTTTTAAAGACTCTTGTTTCGTCGCGAGGTGCCAGGCTGGAGTGCAGTGGCGCGATTTTGGCTCACTACAACCTCCGCCTCCTAGGTTCAAGCAATTCTCCTGCCTCAGCCTCCCAAGTATCTGGGACTACAGGCACGTGCCACCACACCCAGCTGATTTTTGTATTTTTAGTAGAGACAGGGTTTCCCCATGTTAGCCAGGCTGGTCTCGATCTCTTGACCTCGTGATCCACCCACCTCAGCCTCCCAAAGTGCTGGGATTACAGGCCTGAGCCACTGAGCCCGGCCTATAAATTTCTATTGTTTAAGCTACCCAGTTAGCAGTATTGTTATGGAAGACCTAGCAGACTAATACAGACCCTTACTTTACACCATATACACAAATAAACTATCGGCTGGATTCGGTGGAGGCTTATGCCTGTAATCCCAGCACTTTGGGAGGCCGACGTGGGTGGATCACTTGAGGCCAGGAGTTTGAGACCTGCCTGTCCAACAGAGTGAAACTCCATCTCTACTAGAAATACAAAAAATTAGTTGGGCATGATGGTGCATTCCTATAATCCCAGCTACTCAGAAGGCTGAGCCACGAGAAATTGCTTCAACCCAAAGAGACAGAGGTTGCAGTGAGCTGATAACTGCGTCACTGCACTCCAGCCTGGATGACAAAGCAAGAATCTGCCTCCAAAAAAAAAAAAAAAAAGAAAGAATGAGGGTTTACTATCCAGAATATATAAATAACCCTTATAATTCAATAAATAAATTTTTAAAACTCTAACTTAAAAATGAGCAAAAGATCTCCAATAAGCATATGAAAAGATGCTCATCACCACTAATCATTAGAGATATGGGAATTCTAACCTCATACCATATTAGGATAGTTGCTATCAAAAAAAACAAAAAAAACAAAAAACAGCAAGTGTTGGCCAGGATGTAGAGAAATTGGAACTCTTGTGCACTGTTGGTGGGACTATAAAATGGCACATAGTCACTATGGAAACCAGTATGGAGACTCCTCAAAAATGTAAATTAAAAATAGAATTACCACAGGATCTAGCCAATTCCTATTCTGATTACATAACCAAAAGAACTGAAAGCAGAGTCTCAAAGACATGAACACCTATGGTCGCAGCAGCATTATTCACAACAGCCAAAAGGTGGAAGCAATGCCAATTTTCAATGACAGATGAATGGACAAACAAAATGTGACTTATACATACAATATAATATTATTCGGCCTTAAAAAGGTAGGAAATTGGCCCGGCGCAGTGGCTCAAGCCTGTAATCCCAGCACTTTGGGAGGCTGAGGCGGGTGGATCACGATCAAGAGATCGAGACCATCCTGGTCAACATGGCGAAACCCCGTCTCTACTAAAAATACAAAAAATTAGCTGGGCATGGTAGCGCGTGCCTGTAATCCCAGCTACTCGGGAGGCTGAGGCAGGAGAATTGCCTGAACCCGGGAGGCGGAGGTTGTGGTGAGCCGAGATCGCGCCATTGCACTCCAGCCTGGGTAACAAGAGCGAAACTCCGTCTCAAAAAAAAGGTAGGAAATTTTGACACATGGATGAACCCTGAGGACATTAGGCTAAGTAAAATAAACCAGTTACAAAAAGATAGGTACTGTATGGTTTTACTTATATGAGGTATCTAGAGTACTCAAACTGATAGAAACAAAGTATAATGGTGGCTGCCAAGGGCCGCTGGGAAAAGGGAATAGGGAGCTGTTTAATGGGTATAGTTTCAGATTTGCAAGTTTAAAAAGTTCTGGAGATTGGCTGCACATGTGAACATATTTAACATAGTTAACCATACATTTTAAAATGATTAAGATGGGCTGGGCACGGTAGCTCACACTTAAAATCCTAGCACCTTGGGAGGCCGAGGCGGGTGGATTGCCTGAGCTCAGGAGTTCAAGACCAGCCTGGGCAATATGGTGAAACTCCCATCTCTACTAAAACACAAAAAATTAGCCAGGCATGACAGCATGCGCCTGTAACCCCAGCTACTTGGGAGGCTGAGACAGGAGAATCGCTTGAACCTGAGAGGCAGAGGTTGCAGTGGGCCAAGATCGTGCGACTGCACTCCAGCCTGGGCGACAGAGCAAGACTCCATCTAATTAAAAAAAAAAAAAAAGATGCAAATTTTATGTATATTTTACCATAATTAAAACGTTTTAAGTTTTCTCTTGCTTGTAAAGTAGATACACTCTTGCATTTTTGACACCTGATTTTAGCCAAAAGGCCAAGGAATGAACTTGCTTTTCTTTTTTTCTTTGAGATGGAGTCTAGCTCTGTTGTCCCAGCTGGAGTGCAATGGTACAATCTCAGCTCACTACAACCTCCACCTTCCAGGTTCAAGCAATTCTCACTGCCTCAGCCTCTCAAGTAGCTGGGATTACAGGCAACTGCCACCAGGCCGGGCTAATTTTTCCATTTTTAATAGAGCCAGGGCTTCGCCATGTTGGCCAGGCTGGTCTTGAACTTCTGACCTTAGGTGATCCATCTGCCTCAGCCTCCCAAGGTGCTGGGATTCTGCTACAAGTAACAGAATTCCTTAAGAGTCCAGTTAAGCTTGAATAGTTTTTTTTTTTTTTTTGGAGACTGAGTCTCGCTCTGCTGCCCTGGCTGGAGTGCAATGATGCCATCTCGGCTCACTGCAACCTCTGCCTCCTGGGCTCAAGCTGTTCTCCAGCCTCAGCCTCCCAAGTAGCTGGGATTACAGGCATCCATCATCAAGCATGGCTAATTTTTGTATTTTCAGTAGAGATGAGGTTTCACCATGTTGGCCAGGCTGGTCTTGAACTCCAGACATCAGGTAATCCACCCACCACAACTTCCCAAAATGCTGGGATTACAGGCATGAGCCACCGCACCTGGCCAAATAGTAGGTTTTAATTCTGATTATGCATTAATGTGTTATACTACCATAGTTAGGCCTCTTTCTCTACTTTTTTTTCTTTTTTTAAGAGACGGGGTCTTGCTATGTTGCCTAAGCCATCCTCTGGGCTCAAGAGATCCTCCTGTCTGAGCTCCCCATGTAGCTGGGACTACAGATGCACACTACCATGCCCTGTTCTCTTTTACTTCTATGGTTCTGTTTCCTCAGTATAATAAAGAAACAGATACAATTTTTTCTAATGACCTGTGAGGTTTCAACCTCTTGCTTTACCATGTTGTAACTACACGGAAAGTGATATGGCTTTGTTTCTAAATATACAAGAGTCCTGGAATCTCACCTAATTCAAGTTATTTTATTATTGCTGGACAATGAAGCCTTACAATTCACCATGTTGTAGTTTCTTCATCTATAAAAACAAATCACTGCCACATTATTCTTTCCTTTATCTGCTCCCCATAAACACTCCCCAGATTATGTTCAAAATCCTTCAATCATGGAACATAAGACCATTTATTCATTCCTGTCCCTCAAATGATTTGACACTGTATTATCACTGTTTCCCATTAAGCAGTTAACAGAAATCATGTCTCATTTACCTCTGTATGCCTATCATCTAGCAAAGTACTTCCTGTGTGGGGAGAGAGGGAGGCAAGGGGTGTCTGTGTGTATTACAGGGCATGAAATAACCGTTGTTAAATAAACATATTAAAAAATGTTAATAGGAACAACACATGATTGAAAGAACTAAAAACTTAAGAACTATAACACCACTTATTCATAAGTAACTAAAAGGCCCTTACCAATATACTGTCATTAAACAACACAAAGGCAAAATCCATTCAATATTGAACAAAGAAATTGAGGACCTACTTGTCCTTTTCATTTTCTTCATGTTTGGTGAGACTGCAGAGTTGAAGAGTATCAAGCTGTTGTGTTACTTCTTCTGCCCAACGACAATTTACTAGTTCTCGTAGCTGGAGTGGAGCACTGAGGAGAAAATCCATATACGTATTCTAACTCAGGAATATGAGATTATTTTCTAGAATAAACACATTTCTCAAAATAGAGGGCACAATAATACTCATACTGTAACACTAATTTTTTTTTTCCTTTTAAGAGACACTGTCTCATTCTATCACCCAGGGTAGGATATAGTGGTATGATCATGGTTTATTGTAGCCTTGACCTCCTGGGCTCAAGTGATCCTCCTGCCTCAGCCTCTCAAGTGGCTGAGATTACAGCAAGACACCACCAAACCCAACTAATTTTAAAATTTTTTGTAAAGAGGGAAATCTCACTATATTGTTCAAGCTGGTCTTGAACTTCTGGCCTCCAGTGATGCTCCAACCTTAGCCTCCTAAAGTACTGGGATTGCAGGTATCAGCCACCATCTGGCCCCATAACACTATTAAAATTAAAAATATATATATATTCTTTGCAACTTATTTTCACCATATTAACACATTGTTTACCAAAAGAAATTTAAAAACTAAACAAAAAAATATGATTCAGAATATGGACCAAATTCTCAACTTCTAAGTCTAAAGCTGTACTGTTGGCATGGTGGCTCGTGCCTGTAATCCCAGCACTTTGGGAGGCTGAGGCAGGTAGACTGCTTGAGCCCAGGTGTTCGAGACCAGCCTGCGCAACATGATAAAACCCTGGCTCTACAAAAAATTGGCCAAACATGGGGGCATGTGCCTATAGTCCCAGCCACCCATGATGCTGAGGTAGGAGGACCACCTGAGCCAGGGGGATGGAGGCTGCAGTGAGCCAAAATCATGCCTCTACACTCCAATCTGGATAACGGAGTGAGACCCTGTCTCAGAGGAAAAAAAATATATATCAGCTATACTGTCCAAAATGATAGCCACTAGCCACATGTGACTATTTAAAATTAAAATTAAATAGAAATATTATTTCATTATATAGTCACACGACACATTTCAAGTGATCAATAGCCACACATGGCTAGTGGCTACCATACTGGACAGTGTAGACACAGAACACTTTCACCATTATAGAAAGTTCTACTTGATAGTGCTGGTCTTCTTTTAAGATAATGTAAGAAAGGCAGGACTGGGCACGGTGGTTCACACCTGCAATCCTAGACCTTTGGGAAGCTAAGGTAGTAGGATCTCTTAAGCCCAGGAAGTTGAGACCAGTATGGCTAACATAGTGACATCACATCTCTACAAAAAATAAAATTAGCTGGGCATGGTAATACACACCAATGGTCCCAGTCAGCAGGGAGGCTGAGGTGAGAGAATCACCTGAGCCCAGGAGGTTGAAGCTGCAGTGAGCTGAGATTGCACTACTGCACTCTGGCTTGGATGACAGAGTGAGACCCTGTCTCAAAAATATGAAACGAAGGGGAGTGGGACGAAAAAAAAAAAAAAAGAAATCAAGAGAAGAGAGAGAAAAAAGGAAAAAAAATGAAAATGAATACAAAAAGAAAAATGGGCAACAGATGGCACTCCGGCATTATTTTTTGAAACCAAAAGTAGAGATAACCTAAATGTCTCTCAATATGGGCATAAATAAGTCAAGGTATGACTACAGTCACTTTTTTTTCAAAAAATGACATATGTATACATATAATCAAGAAAAGATCTATTTTACAGGAAAAAGCAAACTGCAAAACAATATTATATCACTTGTACATTTTAAGAAAAAGTATATGGGAATAACATAGATATATATATATATAAATATAGGCACAATCATACCAGATTAGGACCTTAAAAAATACATGCACAAAAAACGGTCTAGAAGAACAGATACCAAACCCAACAATTTCTTCTGAAACAATGTCTTCTGAAAAGATAGGGTAGAGAGGTATCAGAATCAGAAGCCTTCTTATTTTATATTTATCTCTATTATTTGAATTTTTTTTTTCTTTTTTTTTTTTGGCTTTGTCGCCCAAGCTGGAGTACAGTGGCACAATCTTGGCTCAAGTGCAGCAGCATCATCTCAGCTCACTGCAACCTCTGTATCCCAAGATCAAACGATTCTCATGCCTCAGCCTCCTGAGTAGCTAGGACTACAGGGGCACACCACCACGCCCAGCTAATTTTTGCGTTTTTGGTAGAGACAAGGTTTCACTATGTTGGCCAGGCTGACCTCAAGTGATCTGCCTGCCTCAGCCTCCCAAAGTGCTGGGATTATAGGTGTGAGCCACCATGCCCAGCCAAACTATCTGGATTTTTAAAATCAGAAACATTAAAAATTTTTTGCTTAATTATAAAAGGTAAGTTATGACTTATCTAGATTATTTTAGCCAGAAACATTAAAAATGTGTTGCTTAATTATAAAAGGTAAGTTAAAAAGTTATACAATAATTTTCTATGAGAGGCAGGGTACAACATAGTAAACATAATTCTAAGTCACGTGAATTAGTCCCCGCATTTCTTTTTCTAGTCAGATTGCTTAATTCTACTCAACTATCTTCACAAAGAAGAGAAACATGGCAGATTGCAGGAAAACTGCCTTTATGAATCCTAAGGCACATTCTGACTCTTGCTATTTTCCAAATTCAAGAATAATCATAGCAAAACACTTACCGGCAATGAGGACATTGAGCTCTCTGCTCTGTCAGCCAGCGCTAAGGGAGCAAAAGAATTAGATTTTGATTAGAAAACACCATTACACTCTCTCTCTTTCTCTCTCTCTCTCTCTCTGTGTGTGTGTGTGTGTGTGTGTGTGTGTGTGTATAAAATACAAACCTAATGAGTTTATCTCTCTACAGTGCTTAAATTAATTTTAGAGATTAAAATAATAGGCAATCTACTGTCTCTCTCATACTGTCAACTGATAGGGACAACTTTCTGAGGGACAGAACTCAACCCAAAATAGCTGTTAAAAGGCTATTCGCACACAGGAAAAGGAATGATTCCAGGACTAACTGATTCTCACAGAGAACCTGTATATAATCTTATTATTCTCTTATAATAATGACACTGTCACCGTCACACCCAAAAATAAACCACAGTGATGGTTTATTTCTACCTAAATGTACTTTTAAATTTATTTTTTGAAAAGTAAGCTAATATGGCAGGGCGTGGTGGCTCACACCTGTAATCCCAACACTTTGGGAGGCCAAGGTGGGTGGATCACCTGAGGTCAGCCTGGCCAAAATGGCAAAACCCCGTCTCTACTAAAAATATAAAAATCAGCCGGGCATGGTGACAGGTGCCTGAAATGCCAGCTACTCGGTAAGCTGAGGCAAGAGAATCGCTTGAACACGGGAGGCAGAGGTTGCAGTGAGCCAGGATTGTGCCACCATACTACAGCCTGGGGGCTGGGCGTAGTGGCTCACTCCTGTAATCCAAGCACTTTGAAGGCTAAGGCAGGCGGATCACCTGAGGTTGGGAGTTCAAGACCAGCCTGACCAACATGGTGAAACTCTGTCTTTAAAAAAAAAACATCAACTTTGTAACAGAAAACAATCTCTCTAAGAAACATTAATTACAGCAATCATTAAAAATCTTAGACCATGGGTTCATGATTAATTAAATACTATTTTCAACACCTAATCCTGCATTTGAAACTAATTAAAAATATAACTATTTATTAAATTCCTTCTATTTCTTCAGAATATAATCAGAGATATCACTACTGACATGTAATGTGTATCCTCATTCATAATGCTATGTGAAAAATTTCAATGCATATTTATTGTTCTGGGAGTTTAAGACATTTACTAGAGAAATTGTGCTGGGGAAATCCTCAACAAATCCTAGTAAAATAAATTCAACAGAATATTTAAAAGATTATATACTGTGGCCCAGTGGGATTTATTTCTAGCATACAAAGATGGTTCAACATACAAAAATCATTCAATGTAATACACATTTAATGAAATAAAGACAAAAAAAATCCCACCATGTTCATCTCAATTGATGCAGAAAAGGCATCTGACAAAACCCAATATCCTTTCATGATAAAAATACTCAATGTATGTAAATAGAAAAATAGAAGGGAACTTCCTCAACTTGATATAGGCCATATATAAAAACTCATAAAAATCATAGTCAACAATTCAAAGGCTAAAAACTCTTCCCCTTAAGATCAGGAAAAAGAAAAAGATGCCAGCAGCTTTTACCATTTCTATTCAACATAATGCAGGTACTAAAAAGTCCAGCCAGAGTACTTAGGCAAGATAAAGAAATAAAAAGTATTCTAATTAAAAAAGAAGTGAAATTATCTTTTTGCAGATGATATGATCATATCTGTAAAAATCCCTAAAGATTCCACAAAATATTGTTAAAGTTAATAGATGTGGCAGTTACAGGATACAAAATAAACACACAAAAAACGCTGGCATTTCTATAAGCTTGCAATGAACAATCAAAAAAGAAAATGAAGAAAATAACACATTTGCAACAGCATCAAAAAGAATAAAATACTCAGGGAAAAAAACAAACCAAGAAATTGAAAGACACACATGGAGGCTCAGTGTGGTGGATCCTGCCTATAATCCCAGCATTGGGAGGCCAAGGCAGGAGCTGCTTGAACCCAGAAGGCGGAAGCTGCAGTGAGAAATGACTGCATCACTGCACACCAGCCTGGGTGACAGTGAGATCCTTTCTCAAAAAACTAAAAAAGACTTATACATGAAAAACTACAATATACTGCTGAAAGAAGTTAAAGAAGTCCTAAATAAATGGAAAGACACCTGTGTTCGTGAATCATAAGACTTTTTTTTTTTTTTTTTTTGAGACGGAGTTTTGCTCATTACCCAGGCTGGAGGGCAAGGCGCGATCTCGGCTCACTGCAACCTCCACCTCCTGGGTTCAAGCAATTCTCCCGTCTCAGCCTCCTGAGTAGCTGGGATTACAGGCACGCACCACCATGCCCTGCTAATTTTTTGTATTTTTAGTAGAGATGGGGTTTCACCATGTTGACCAGGATAGTCTCGATCTCTCGACCTCGTGATCCACCCACCTCGGTCTCCCAAAGTGCTGGGATTACAGGCTTGAGCCACCGCGCCCAACCTGGATCATAAGACTTAATATTGTTAAGACAACAATACTACTCAAAGGCATGTACAGAATCTATGTAATCCTATTAAAACTCCAACAGTACTTTTTATTTGGTAGAAAGTACATTGAAAATTCATATGGAATCTCAAAGGATGCCAAATAGCCAAAAGTATCTTGAAAAAGAAAAACAAAGTTGGAGGACTCAACACTTTCCAATTTCAAAACTTACTATAAAGATACAGTAATCAGCCAGGAGCAGTGGCTGAGGCCTGTAATCCCAGCACTTTGGGAGTCCGAGGTGGACAGATCATGAGGTTAAGAGATTGAGACCATCCTGGCCAACATGGCGAAACTCTGTCTCAACTAAAAGTACAAAAATTAGTGGGGCATGGTGGTGCATGCCTGTAATCCCAGTTACTCGGGAGGCTGAGGCAGGAGAATTGCTTGAACCCAGGAGGCAGAGGTTGCAGTGAACTGAGACCATGCCACTGCACTCCAGCCTGGCAACAGAGCAAGACTCTGTGTCAATTTAAAAAAGAAAAAAGATACAGTAATCAAAACAATGTGGTACTACCATGAGGACAGAAATAGAGACTAATAGAACAGAACGGAGAGGTAGAAATAAATATTTTATGATTCCATTTATACGAAGTACTTAGTACAGTCAAACGTAAAGACAGAAGGTATTGGTTAACGGGCTGGAGGGAAGAGAGTAATGAGAATTAAGTTTAACAGGTACAGAGTTTCAGTTTGGGATGATGAAAAAGTACTAAAGATGGATAGTGGTGATGGCTGCACAACAATGTGAATGTACTTAATGCTACTAAACTACACTTAAAAAGACAGTTAAAATCATAAATTTGGCCAAGTAGCTCATATCTGTAAACCTAGCACTTGGGAGGCGTAGACAGTCAGATTGCTTGAGCCCAGAAATTTGAGACCAGCTTGGACAACAAAGTAAAACTCTATCTCAACAAAAAAAAATTTTTAAACTAGGCTGCAGCGCAATGGCTCACACCTGTAATCCCAGCACTTTGGGAGGCCAAGGCAGGCGGATAACCTGAGGTCGGGAGTTCAAGACCAGTCTGACCAACATGGAAAAACCCCATCTCTACTAAAAATGCCAAAATTAGCCAGGCATGGTGCACATGCCTGTAATCCCAGCTATTCAGGAGGCTGAGACAGGAGAATCTCTTGAACCCGGGAGGCAGAGGTTGCAATGAGCCAAGATCACATCATTGTACTCCAGCCTGGGCAACAAGAGCAAAATTCCGTCTCAAAAAAATAACAAAATAAAAAACAGCCAGGCATGATGGCGCAAACTTGTGGTCCCAGCTGCTCAAGAGTCTAAAGCAGGGCAATTGCTTGAGCCCCCGAGATAGAGGCTGCAGTGAGCCGTGATTGTATTGCTGCACTCTGGCATGGGCAACAGAGTGAGACCTTGTCTCATTAAAAGAAAAACAAGCAAATTTTACATTATGTATATTTTGCTGCAATTAAAAAAAAAAATTAAACAAAATACCGTATGACCCAGCAATTTCACTCCTAGATATACATTCAATAGAAATGAAAGCAGAAACTTAAACAGATAATTGTTAACTATTGAACTATTAACATCCAAGCCAGGCGTGGTGGCTCACGCCTGTAATCCAAGCACTTTGGAGGCCAAGGTGGGCGAATCACCTGAGGTCAGGAGTTCAAGACCAGCCTGACCAACATGGTGAAACACTGTCTTTAAAAAAAAAAAAAAAAAAAAAAAATCCAAAAGGTGAAAACAACCCAAGTGTCCATCAAGAGATATAAAAATGTATAAACAAAAGGTGGTATAGTCATGTGTCACATAAAGATGTTTTGGTAAACAATGGACCACATATACTACAGTAGTCTCGTAAGATTAGAATGAAGCTGCCCTACATGGGTATACCATCTTTAATATACCATTTGTTTACTTATGTTTATTTTTTTTGAGACAAAGTCTCACTGTCACCCAGGCTGGAGTGTAATGGCAGGATCTCAGCTCACTGCAACCTCCACCTCCCAGGTTCAAGCGATTTTCCTGCCTCAGCCTCCTCAGTAGCTGGGATTACAAGCCCATGCCACCATGCCTGGCTAATTTTTTATATTTTTGGTAGAGACGGGGTTTCACCATGTTGGCGAGGCTGGTCTCGAGCTCTTGACCTCAAGTGATCTGCCAGCTGTTGCCTCCCAAAGTACTGGGATTACAGGCATAAGCCACCGCACCTGGCCTATTTATGTTTAGATACACAAATACTTACCACTGTGCTATAATTACCCACAATATTCAGTATATGCTGTACAGGTTTGTAGCCCAGGATAGGCCATTCCACCTAGCCACGGTGCATAGGAGGCTATATGATCCAGGTTTCTGTCAATATACACTATGATATTCAAACAACAAAAATGCCTAACAAACATTTTTCAGAACACATCCCCGTTGCAATGCATAACTATATACATACAATGGAATGTTATTCAATGATAAAAAGGAAGGAAGCTCTGATACCAGATACACGGATGAACCCTGAAAATCTTATGCTGGCCAGGCATGGTGGCTTACACCTGTAAACCCAATACTTTGGAAAGCAGAGGCGTGTGGCTC